TCCCATTAAGTTAGAGCACTTAGCAGATATCAGCCTGTTAGCCTCGCAGGCCTTGGGGCAGGCATCACACTCAGGGTTGTCTCTGCTGCGCAGGAGCAGCTCCTCAGGCTTTAAGGCAAAGCCTGGAAATGCCGTGGGGGCTTCCTCATGGGAAGGTGGGGCTCTGCCCCTGAGCCCCTATGGCTCTTTCCCTCCACAGTCTCTGCTGCTGTTTCTGCACACCTGTGGGGAGCTCAAAAGAAGCTGCTGGCAGCTCAGTGGCCGCCTGCAAGTGTGCTGGCTGTTTCTGGGGCACAGGCAGGCTGGTCTGTGCTTGATCCTGGAGGGGGGGATTCTAGGATGTTAGGGAGGGGGCGATAGAGCAACAGCCTTGGCAGAGGAGGGAGGGTGGGTTCAACTGCCCAAGCAGCCTGACCTGGGAGGGCTGGATGACAGCATCTACTGAGGTCAGAGAGAAGCGTGAGAAAGGACACCTTCTCCCTTCTTGCTTGCTCAAAGCCCATATGGCAAAGGGAGGGCCAGGCTGGGGCTCAGTCTGACGGAGACAAGGGGCTTCCTCGCAGGGAGGATTGAGTGCAGCAGGCAAGGAGACCCAGGAAGGGCTCTGCGAAAGACACAAGAACCCCTCAGCCTCAGTGGGCCTCAGGAACTGCAATGAAGACGACTTTAATTTACAGGTATTAGAAAGTAATAAACGGTAATATTTAGATGATATTTGGGATATGAAGGGAAAAGACAAGCTGCAGAACTGCGCCAGAATCCATGGGTTCTTCTTGTAGAGCCACTGAGCAACAGTGGGGGACCAGCATGGAGTCATTGGGGGCCTTGGCAATGCAAAAGAACTGTGCCCCCCAGGAGTGGACAGACAGGAGAATTGGCAGGTTGCCAAGGGGATGGGGATGTGATGTCACAGGAAAATCTGTCCTTTTTGAAATCTAAAAGTGTGCTGGGAAGGAGTGGGCAGGCCTCTGTGGGCTGCTGTGGTGGCGAGAAGCAGGAAGAGACACAGAGCCTGGTTGGGGGCCAAGACCCCAGGAATCTTGCGCATGGCTCAGCAGAGGCTGGGGCGGCTTCCCTGGCTTGTAAGAAGCTGCACTTCCCAGTGGAAGAGGCATGAACTGCCATCCATGGTGATCTCTGTTACTTCTGCATCCAAAGTGGTGATGGGAGTGGGTGGCCAAGAGCCAAGAGCCCCTCAGTTTGGAAGCCTAGACAATACCCCATGTCTTGCCTTCCTTTCAGCCTCCCAAACTAGGCAGCCCAGTCAGGTGAGAGGAGCCTTTGCCAGCTGGGGTTGGCCAGGCTGTTTCACTGCCAAGACAAGCCTGGTGGCAACCCCACAGAAGAGCCAGGACTGAGGCGCCCAACAAACAGAGGGGCTCCCCTCCCCCTCTGGGAGCAGGCCAGATTTGGCCCTGGCTGCTCCTGCTGCCTGTGTTTGCAGCGCCATGCCATACCTGGCATTCTTTCCAGGCTACAGAAGTCTGCAACTGCTAAGGAGACGCTCCCATAATAAATGCCTCAGGACTGCAGCAGATGAGGGAGAAGAGGGAGAGCCCTGCATGTGGGGCTCAGGAAGTGCAGTGGGGAGGTCTTGTGGGGCCAGAAGGCCTTCCTTGCAAGAGAGGCAGGGAGGTACCAAGCCAGTGGGGTCACCAGCTGGGCAGGGGGCACATAAAGAACAGGGATGAAGGTGGTGTTCTGGTCTAAACCACTGAGCCTCTTGGGCTTGCCAATCAGAAGGTTGGCGGTTCGAATCCCTGCAACAGGGTGAGCTCCCATTGCTCGGTCCCAGCGCCTGCCAACCTAGCAGCTAGAAAGCATGTAGATAAATAGGTACCACTGCGGAGAGAAGGTAAACAACATTTCTGTGCGTTCTCACTTCCATCACGGTGTTCTGCTACGCCAGAAGTGGTTTAGTCCTGCTGGCCTCACAACCTGGAAAGCTGTCTGTGGACAAACACCAGCTCCCTCGGCCTGAAAGCAAGATGAGCGCCGCAACCCCAGCTGCCTTTGACTGGACTTAACTGTCCAGGGGTCCTTTACATTAAGAACACAACAAGAGCCTGCTGGATCAGGCCAATGGGCCTTCTAGCCCAACATCCTGCTCTCACAGCGGATAGAGTTTTCCCATGGGAAACCAGCAGACAGGGTGGATCTGAGCCCAAGAGGCCTCTCCTGTGGCTTCCAGCCACTGGCATTCAGAAGGCAGAGCAGAGCCATCGAGAGCCTCTCCTCCTCCATGAATTTGTCTAATCCTCTTTTAAAGCCATCCAAGTTGGTGGCCATCCCTGCCTCCTGTGGGAGGGAGTTCCAAGGGTTAACTATGCCTGGATCTTATCAGTAGCCCCAGTAAAGACTTTGGGCCATGCAAGCCCAACTTCTCATGGCCCTCCAGGGGCTCCCTCTCAGCCCGCCTTTCTTTACAGGTTTGTTGTGACAATTTGAAACGGAAAGAATTGTACTTTGCATGACGCACAGCGCTAGAAAAGATGACGACAACCACCACTGGCCCAGCACCCTGGACGTCTCCACCCCCCCCCCCCGGTGGGAGCTTTGCTGCTGGGGCTGGAGGAAGGATTGCTGGATGCCCTCCCTTGGGGCAAAGCTCCCTGGAGGCCTGGCTGTCACAGTGGCAGCCAGGGGGGCTGAACCCTCCCCTCGTCTGCAGGAAGGCACCCCCTCCACCACTTAGGTGCCCTTAGAGGCAACTCTGGGCTGTGCAAGAGAAGGGCGGCCAAGGGGCATCTCCACCCCCTCAGCCCAATTTCCCAAATGGGGACTCCCCCCCCCCATGCCAGACCTGTGGCTGGTCCCCTAAGGTCGCTCCACACCACCTGCAGAGAGGAAGCAAAGCCACACAGACTCGTGTCTTCATTCCTTCCTGCAGCAGATAGAGGCTGCGCTGCCCTGAGTCCTGGGCAGAGAGGCTCTGGGGGCGCCTTCCTCCTCTCGCTTCTGGGGAGCTTGGCTGGCCTCCCTGCGCAGCGCTTCCTCCGAGGAGGTAGGAGAGACTCCATTATTGCCAGTGGGAACCAAGGGACTCCTGCCTTCTTCTCCTCTCAGGCCTTTTAAACTGTGTGTGTTGCAACGTCTTTGCTATTATGGTATGGATGTTTGTGTTTTTATGTTGTAAACCACCCTGTGATCTTTGGATGAAGAGCAGTATAGAAATATAATAAATCCTTCTCCTCCTCCAGCTGAACTCCTTGCAACACAGGAATCACCGCTAGAGAATCCCAGACAGATGTCCAGCTGACCTGTTTCAAAACCTCCAAGGAAGGAAGAGCCCAGCATATTTTGAGGGAGTCCATTCCAATGTTGAACAGCTCTCACTATCAGAAAGTTATTCCTGTTTAGTCAGAAACTCATTTATTCCCATTTGAATCCATTGGTTTTGGTCCTACACCCCAGAACAGGAAAAAACAAGCTTGTAATAGCCCTTTATGGATATCTGAAGGCGGCCGCCATATCTTCTTTCAGACTCTCCTCTTATCCAGACTAAACATTCCTAACTCCCTCAACCGTTCCTCCCAAGGCTTGGTCTCCAGACCCGTGATCATCTCGGTCGCCTTCTCTGCCCGTTCCAGCTTGTCAATATCTTTCTTAAACTGGGGTGCCCAGAACTGGACCCAGGACTCCAAGTGTGCTCTGACCAAGGCAGAAGAGGGCAGGGCTAGGACTTCCATCTGGACACAAGATTTATGTTGGTGCAGCCTAGAAGAGCATTAACATTGTTTGCTGTTGCATCTTGCTACTGACCCATGCCAAGCTTATGGCCTACTAAGACCCCCGAGTCCTCATGCACTGCTGTCAAGCCAGGTGCCCCCCCCCATATCTATGTGCAACTGGTTCTTCCTGCCCAAGTGCAAAGCCTGGCCGTCTCCTCCTTGCAGGCTGTTTAGCCATAATAAGCATTCATTCAGTCTCTTCCTCTCAGGCACAGGTCCACAACTTTCCAAGAATGATGGAGAATGGCTGCCTCACCGTTCCCTCCTAACTCTATTGTTTATGAAGTTTACAAGCACAGGTCCGTCCCGATCCTTGAAAGAACTATCCATTTATTCCTGCTCTCTGCTTCCTGCTACTTAACCAGTTCCTGATCCCTGAGAGAACTTCTCTTCTTATTCCTCGACTACTAAGCTTACTCAAGTCTTTAGCGAGGTACTTTGTCAAAAGCTTTTTGAAAGGCTCAAGCACACAATGTCAACTGGATCACCTCTCTTGACACTCTCAAGAGGTTCATGAGACAGAACTTGACTTGCAGAAGCCATGCTGGCTCTGCTTCAGCAAGGCTTGTTCTTCTATGTCCTTATTCTGTATGTATTGCCTGTGATTGGTGTGGGCACACAACTTTGCCCCCAGAGAACATGAGTGTGCATATTGAGGGGGACAGTCCCCGAGATAGGGAGATCTGTAATACGAAGTAAACACACACTTACTGGGGGTTCAAAGACATGTGCCAAAGGTCAAGGGAGGACCAGTTGAGATTGCCCAGGGTGGCTGGGTGTCCAGCATTTGTGCATGTTCTGCAAGGAGAACCAGCCCCCCCCCCCCCCGTGTCTCAGCAGGCTTTTCTTCCTTTCAGAGGAGCAAATGGGAGTGACACCTCCTGGGACGGGACGGACAGGGCTGCCTGCGGGATGTGCAAGTGGGGCTGAGCGGGGTTCCCTGCTTACGGCTGCAGAGAATAAGGCAGGCACTAGACTGGCTCTGAAACTCTTTCCAATCTTCCTCAGGCTCTTCTTGCCCCACAGCTGAGCCCCATGCATCACCCTCAGGATGGTCAAGTGGGGAAGAGAGACCCAAAGGTGGGGGGGGGGGCGTTGCACCTGTTCCACACCACTGAGAGACAGAAATTGCAGGGAAGCCAGTTTATTCAAGGCAGGCCCTTTGCAGGCCTGGGGGGTGGGTGGGGGGCGTGTCTGGTTCTTTGTGTGCTGATCACACACACCCCACAGTCCATAGACTCATGCAACTGTATAGAGTTGGAAGGGACCCTAAAGGTCATCTAGCTCAACCCCCTGGACACAGGAGTCCCTCCACCCGCCTCCCTTGGATTCCCTGACATAGAAAGGACACAGGCGGCTTATGGATGTATCAAAATTACAAAAGGTGAGAAGCCTCAGCAAGTGTGTGGGGGAGGGTTTCAAAAAAAGGGGGTGCCGAGCTGCTGTAATGGGGGGGTCAGGGCAGGACCTGGAGGGGGGCAGGCAAGCGGGTGCCAGAACCGGGGGGGGGGGGGTTCTGGGCCCACACAGGCAGGCACTTGGGAACAAAGAGCAGCTATGACAAGAGAGAAGTGGGGTGCAGAGGCCTGGGGGCATCAGGCAGAGAGGGGGCTGAGGGGGGCTGCTGCCTCCAAGCCCCCCCTTGGCTCCCATTTAAGGCACCCAATATTTGGTTGGAGTGGAGGCTAATCCACATTGCACAGTCAGGCCACAGGCAGCGACCCCCCACCCTCCAGAGCGAGAGGCAGGCTGAGTAGCCAAGGCACAAGGAAGGAAGATTCCTGGAAGAAAAGGCGAGGGGGCTTGGGGAGCCTCTTCCTGGAAGGGCAGTCCAGAGCGTGGCACGTGGCGGGGGCCGTGGGGGCAGGGCAGGCGCAGGGTGGGCAGTGGCAGGCCCCCATCTCTCCCTGCTCGGGAGGAGGCCTGGCTGGTCCTTGCTGGGGGCGGGGGTGTCGGCATTAAATAGGGGAGCGGGGGGGGGGGCCGCGGCGGTGCTCAGGGGCAGAGGCGATGGCGGAGCTCAGTTTGGCCCTTCATCCCGCAGCTCCGTGGGAAGGAACTTGTACTGCTGCTGCCGGATCATGGCCAGCTTCTTGCGTGCCTCCTCCAGCTCCCGCTCCTTGCGCAGCATCTCTTCCTGGGCAGCAATGATCTGGGGGGGGGGAGCAGGGCAGACCGTGAGGCGGGGGGTGGGAGCAGCCGCCCCATTGCTTGACAGCAGCGCCTGCACTGGGGGGGGCACCTGGCACTCCCCCCTTTCTCGCTTGCAACCACTGGGGGGGCCAGAGTCTCACCTGCCTGCAAAGGCAGCCTTGGCCCCCTGTCCTCCCCCCCCCTCCCTGGGGACTCACCTGCGCAATCCCGCCCACCATCTTCTCCTTCACCACCACCGTCTCGTTCTCCTGGTCCTGGAAGGCGGCTGCTTTCTGAGCTGCTTTCACCAGGTTGTCGGACGCCCTCTTGACGGCGTTGCCAGCGGCCTGGAGGAGGGGGGAGAAAGAGGGCTGGGACTCTCCCCCAGGATACAGGGATGGGGGGCAGGAAGGGGCCGGCCAGAGGAGGCTCACCAGCCCTGGCTGCCTGCCCCAAACCAGACACACGAAACTTTGGGGATTATTATTATTATTTAGGTGTTGTGGGGTGGGATTAAGTCTGGAAATAAAACCTTCCTAGAAGGCAAAATAGTCTAAGAGCCACATTGTGAGGCATGAACTGCAGGAGAGCAGAGCTGCCCTGGGCTGTCCATTCGCAGGACCCCTCGCCCATTCCCCCTGCCCACACCCAACTGCCCCCCCCATTTGGCTTATGCTGGACACAGGGTGCAGGGTGAGGGAGGGGTCGGCAGTGTGGGGGGCCAGGGGAGACATGCCCCCCCATAAGCCCTTCCTGCCCACCCTTGAAGACTTGCTGCTCCCACGATTTGGAGAGCTGGAAGGGATCCAAGGGTCATCTAGTCCAACCCCTGCAATGCAGGCCATAAAACGAGGGCCCCCCATGGGAAAACTCAGAGCAAAGGCCGTCCTGTACCACCTCCCAGGACTGTGCTGCAAGGGCACAAGGCAGGTGGGCAGCATCAGCCACGCGGTCCCCTCCCTGCGCCCGAGGCCGCACGCCCCCCGGCCTCCCCGCTTGCTCACCTGCAGGCGCTTCATGGCCTCCGAGTCCTGATCCGCCTTGACCTTGCAAGCCACCAGCAGCTGGGCGGTGGAGGCGGCCACCTGCTTGGCGGAGGAGATGAGCTTCTCCTCGCTGGCGTGGCCCTGCACAGCCGCATTGGCCGCCTCACACAGGTTGTTGGTGGCAGCGGCCACCATCCGCGCCTTGGCAGGGGAGGAAGGAAAGCCAGTGAGCGGAGGGGGAAGCCGGCCGGCAGCTCCCCCAGGCCCCCTGCAAAGCGGCTGCAGGTGGGGACTGCAGCCCCCGCAGGAGAAAAGGAGCCTCCTTCTCCCCCCCCCCTTTGGTCCCCTTCGTACTCACTGCTGAAATGAGGCCCTGGGACCACTGCCCGTCGTCCAGGGCGTTGGCAGGGATGGCACCCACCTGGCAACAAAGAAGGCGGAGGGGGGTGAGACCAGAGGGTCCGCAGGAGGCCAGGCCTCCCCCAGATAGATAGATAGATAAACTTTATTCGCATTAGCCAACGGCCATAGCAACTTAAAACAAGCAATATATACAAATAAAATATATACAGTGGTGCCCCGCAAGACGAATGCCTCACAAGACGGAAAACCCGCTAGACGAAAGGGTTTTCCGCTTTTGAGTTGCTTCGCAGGACGAATTTCCCTATGGGCTTGCTTCGCAAGACGAAAATGTCTTGCGAGTCTTGCGATTTTTTCCCGCTTTCCCCCCCTTTTTCTAAGCCGCTAAGCCGCTAATAGCCTTTTAGCAGCTAAGCCGCTAAGCCGCTAAGCCTTTAATAGCCGCTAAACCGCTAATAGCGCTAATCCACTAATCCGCTAATAGGGTTGCTTCTCAAGACGAAAAAACCGCTAGATGAAGACACTCGCGGAACGGATTAATTTCGTCTTGCGAGGCACCACTGTACAAATAAAAAAAGACAGCAATGGGTATAAAGGGCAATCAAATGACCAAGATTATCGTTCAGATAGTGGCCCTTAATCTCACTGCACCCTCGATAAACCTAGCAACCTTCGCTGTTGTCCGATCATTTTGATCCGATAAAAGAAAGAACAATGTGGCCTCAGATGGGCGGCCTGGGATGGTGAGTAAGAGTGGGGTGATGATCTCATTCCTCAGATCTTTATAGAGGGCAGGACAGGAGAAATTGAGCCACTGGTTCCCCCCCCCCCCCAGTCCACAGGACTCACCTTCCCTTGGGCCACCAGCTCTCTCTGGGCGGCTGAGGCTGCTTTCACCAAGGCACTGGTTGCGGCCGCAATGGACTTGGCAGCCTCCAGAATCTGCTCCTCAAAGTTCAGGCTCTCATCTGCCTGCTGTTGGGGGGAGAGCAGAGTCAGCGGGGAGAAAGGGGAGGGCGGGATCACCTGCCATTGTTGCAGGATTTCGAAGCACCCCCAAACCCCACATTCAGAGACCAGGCCAACAGACCCCTGGGAGGGACTAGGGTGGCCTCCAGCAGCAGCCCCTGGGCAGACGGGTGAGGGGATGAGGGTGGCATCCGGGGGGCCCAGGGGACCTCCTGGGGGCAGCCCAGCTACCCACCTTGGGCTTTGCACGCGGCTTCAGCTGCTCCAGCTTCTTGGCGGCAGCCTCAATGGCAGCAGCGGCGCCCAGCAGCTCGTTCTCTGCGATGACGGTGGGATCCTCAGGGTCCACCCATTCCGTCCCTGGTGGGAGAGGGAAGCAGGAGTCAGGGGGGCAGAGAGCCATTCCTCCCTCCCCCAGGAGCCCCAACAAGACCCCACCCATTTTGTTCAGGTGGGCATTTCTTTCTCCTGTTTCAGAGGGGTCCTTTCCAGAGAGGGGAAGCAGGGGGCCTCGCCCGGGGGAACCACCCACCTTTCATGGCCTCCGCTGCCTGGATGAGCTCCGTCACCGAGCCGGCCACTCGCTTGGAGTACGCAGCCAGCTGCTGCTTCAGGTCATGGCTGGGTTTCTGGAGGATCTGGAGCAAGATCGGGGGGGGGGGTAGACAAGGGGTGAGCCTTGCCCAGACCTACAGGGGGAGGGCGGAAGGCGGCGCGTGTCTTGGGGAGGGGAGGGTCCCCCCTGGCAGGGGCTCGCCTGCAGCAGGGCACCCAGGGGTGGGGGCCGTGGAAGACATGGGCTGCCCATTCCCAGGCACCCTGGAAAGAACCACAAGGGAAGCCCCCCGGGGGTGCAGGGGGTGAAGAGGAAAGTCCAAAGGAAGCCTGGGGAAAGGGGCAAGGAAGGTGCAAGAGGCTGAAGGAGGGAGGGGGCAGTTTTCCAGGGAGGGGAGAAGGTGGAAAGAAGAGCAATGGAGGTTCAAGGCCACACAGACTTCCCGGCTCCATGAGCTGCCCAGCAGCAGCAGGGCGAGGGGTCAGGGAGACCCAGAAGCTGCCTCCCCTGGAGCAGCCTGGGCACCTCTTGACAGTTTGCATTTCTTAGTGCAGAAAGTATTGATCTGATGTGCAGAGATCCTTCCTATTCTACTGAATTCAAGAGGGTTCTGGAAGCATCTCTGTGTGAAAGAAACAAGCAGAGGGTTCCTGAACTGGTTCTCTTATCCCTTCTGTCATGCTGACTATAATAAGAGGCCAGAAAGAGCCTGTTTTTCACTTTCTGTCTCTCTTCCTTCTGGTGTTCTGTACATAGTATGCTTAGTGTTATGCTTTAGACTTATTATAAATTAGTGTAAGTTTAAGTTAAGTCTGCTGCACATGGATTTCTTATGGACAGGGCCAATCCTGAATGTATTGGATTTGTGACCATTCTGCTCATTTGCCTCCAGGAGCAGTAAAGCTCTGCTGGATGAAATATAATTGCCTCCGGTCTATTTTTTGGGAATCTGCAACGTGCTTGTTGCTCTGCTAACTACACATCAGAGTTCTGCTCTGGATCAATATCGAGTAGAATTTCAATGACACCTCTAAGGGAGACTGCTTGGCCTCAGATCTCAGAATTGCAAGATTTAAAGGGACCCCAAGGGCTCATCTAGTCCAACCCTTTGCAGTGCAGAAATCCCGGCTGCCCTGACCCTGGGTGACAAGGAACCTTCTGGGCCGCACCCCTGAGAGTGGGAAGACCTTCTTTTGCCCCTCCTCCCCCCAACACAGAGAGGCAGGCAGAGCTGCCGGCTCAGGCTAGTCATGGCTGAGCCGGGATTAGAACCCAGAACACCACTGCCCAACCCTGACCCAAGTGAGATGTTAGCCACACTGCAGCCGGGACTGGCTCCCAGCGGTTATTCACCACGGCATCCCAGAATCCAACACAGCACAGCAGAACGGCAGGCACACAGCAAGGGCCCAGAGTTAAGGGGGGCAGGAGAGCCTGGCTCACCCCTTACTTCTGCCAGGAGACTCCCCCCCCCATGCGCGTGAGCACACACCCCCAGGTGCCACACACTCCCATGCAGGGCACTCCATACTCACAGGCTGCCCAGAAGAGAAAGAAAGAGAGAGGAGAGAGAAGAGAAAGGGGGTGAGCAGGGAGGAGGAGGAGGAGGAGGCTGCTGGGGGGGCAAAGGGCCCCCGCCCCGAGATCCAGCCTCCGCCACGCAGGGTACAGGGCAGAGGGAGGCACACGCACTCACCACCAGCACGTGCTCCAGCAGCTCCAGGTAACCGTTGGCACACTCCTTGCCAAAGCGCAGCGCCCGCTGCCGAACCTCCGCGTTGGCCTCTGGGTGGTAGGCAGCCTCCTGCAAAAGCCCCATGGGTGAGAAACAGCCTAATGCAGGAGCCTGGCAGGGTGGTGCCAGGGCTGGGGCACTGGGCGCAGGTTTGCTGGGCACAGGAGAGAAGCATCCAGAGCCACGCTGGGTCCGGAGAGCCCCTCTGGCTTAGCAGCTCTTCCAAGATCCTGGCCGAGCCTCCTTTGAATTGTAGAATTGTGGAATTGACAGGGTTGACACATGTCTGGTTTCTCCAGACAGGTCTTCTTTTTGGGGTGCAACATCTCAGTCTGGGCGGATTTTTTGAATTTGCCAAAATGTCTGGGTTCTTGCAAACAGAGCCAGGAAGTGTGCGTGCGAGGATCACTCTTAACCTTTTCCTATTTCTACAGTGCGCCTGCATGGTGCATTTGGGGACTGGGCTCATCATCAAACGGCAGGTCGGTCCTAGACCTCTCTGAGATGTTGGCCATACTGGTGCCCAGGAAGCTGCCCCTGGGCAGGTGGGAAAAACTCCCTGGAGGAGGGTCTCTGCTGGCACCTTCTTGCTCTGGCTCCCCTTCCCCACCCCAGGGCCTTGTCCATTGATTGCAATGAAGCCAACTCTATTTTGCAATATCAGAAAGATCTAAGAAAAGAAACAGAGCGCTGGCAAGTAAAGAGGACCCCCCCCCCCGCTCTCTCTGTCCTAATTAAAAGCTTTGGGGGGCATTTGGAGATGAACCAAATCACCTTGGGTACCTCTAAACACAATTCTTGAATGTAAGTTAAAATACACAGCTCTCATGGAAGGCCACGGAAAGCCCCCCTCCCCATTTTTGTGTGTGGGGTGTGTGCCCTATTTTATACATCTCAAAATCTTAGCAGACTGAAGAACCTAGAAAAGAAAGTGCTGGGGGTTTGGGGGGGAGAGTGGAGGAAATGGCGGAAGCACTGGGCACCCCATTTCCCCCCTAAAAGTTTGCTCCTTTCCTTTGGTCACCGTTCTGCTTGGATCTTCATATTGTATTTCTTCTTGCCCTTATGTGACCCCCAAACCAAGGAGATAAGTGACTATACAACCTTTAGAAGGCATCTGAAGGCAGCCCTGTGCAGGGAAGATTAGAAATGTTCCATGTTTGATTATGTTTTTGTGTATGTTGGAAGCCACCCAGAGTGGCTGGGGCAACCCAGTTGGGTGGGCGAGGTATAAATAATAAAATTATTATTATTGAAGATGATGTCCCTATTTTCACTGGAGAAATGTTTCTGGGCACAATGTGCCCAGTGTGTGCGTGCCATGGAAGGTGCGGGGGCTCCATGTCCTCTTTTTCGCTCTTTAAAATAAGGCAACCCTATTCTAGTCCAACCCTCAGAAATTCAGGATTCGCACCTGGAGCCTCGTAAATGCACTGCCCCCCATCCTCCGATGACTGTCCAAGGGGGTCCTGTGAGCTTGCCCCACCTGTTTCCAAGGATGTCCCCCTTCAGCTCCCCCCACCGTGAGCACGCCCCTCCGCTCCCCACCTTGCAAGAGCGCAGCATGTCGGCAATGGCGCGGCGGCTCAGGTTGGCCGTGGCGATCACGTCCTCCTGCCGGCACGAGTTGCCAGCTGCCACAGCCTTGGCAGTCGCCATGGTGATGCCTTTGGTCATGCGGATGAAGTCCTCCGGCGTTGAGGTCTTGGCGGGCGGCACCTGGGAGCAGAAGACCTGCGGGGGACGGGAGGTGGTCAGCCTGGCCGGGAGAGGAGGTAGAGGGTGGGGCAGAGCAAGGGGGCAGCAGCCCCAGCCCCCCTCCCGCCAACGCACTCACCGCAAGCTCCTGGCGGATGTGCTCAATTGTGGCTTCCAGCGCTCGGGTCCCCTTGGTGGCTTCGTCCTCCACGGCCTTCACCGTCTTCAGCAGCGACGTGACGTTGGTGACCATCACCTGCCAAGCAGAAAAGGGTGACCTTTGGAGGGGGGGGAGGAAGAGGGCTCCCTGCTCCCTACAGCCCTGGGGAACTTCCTCCCTTGGGTGGCCATAGAATCTAAGCATTGCAGAGGGGGAAGGGACCCCTGGGGGTCATCCAGTACAACCCCTACCATGTCACAACCAAATCATCCCAGAGAGGTGGAAGCTCTGCTTAAAAAACCCCAAGGAAGGAGAGCCCGCCCCCTTCTGAGGAGCCTGCTTTCCCTACACACCCCACTCTGCCCCCCACACATGCCCATGAGCTGCTGCAGAGTCTCCCACCTTGGCTGAGTTCTTCAGCTGGTAAACGGCCGGGTCATCGCCAGACTTGCCCGCAGCAGCCTTGGTGGCGCTGATCAGGTCCCCAAGGGCCTTGGCCACGTCCTTCACGGCATTGATCAAGACCACCTGAGCGCAGAGAGGAGAGAAGGAGGACATGAGCAGAGCCTGCAGCTGGATCAGGCCCAAGGGAAGCCAGCAAGCAGGATTCGAGAGCAAGAGCCATCAGATGGTCAACAGAAGGACAGACCCAAGGAGAGGGGTGACCCCGCCATTGTGGCCCTTACCTGCGTCTCGGGGTCCTCGGAGCCCAGGCTGGCGGCCCCCAGCTTCACCACCTCGGAGAGGCGTGTGATGGTGGCCACAGAGGACTGGGCAGCCTGTGCCAGCTTCTCCTGGCTGGCCGTGGCGTTCTGCACCAGGACCTTGGTGTCCTCCACCAGCGCCTTGGCCGTCTTCAGGATGCCCTCCCTGCCAAAGAAGTGGGGTGGGAGGGGTTAAGAGGTGGCCAGGAATTCTGGAAGGCCTGTTGGAGGCCACACGGGAACCGCTGGGGGCCACTACCTGTGGTCGGCAAAGGTCTCTGCGTTTTCGCGGTTGAGGGTCCCGGCTGTGGCAAACATGATGGTGGTGTCCAGATCCGCGATGATGCCAGAGACAGCGCTGGCCGCTGTGATGCAGGCCTGGGTTCCCCGGTTGCCTGCCTGGAGGGCGGCCAAGACGTGCGACACCTGCGGAGGGAGACAGGACAGCTGGCCTCCCATCGGCACTGGGCTGACCCCCAGCACGGTCCCAGGAGAAGATCCCAGGGGGAGGAGACAATGCAGGCGTGTGTTGGTGTGGGAAAATGTTAGGAGGGGATCTGCTGGATCCGGCCAGTGGTCCCTCTAGCCCAGCATCCTGTTCCCACAGTGGCCGACCAAAGGGAAACCAGTAAGCAGGATCTGAGCACGAGAGCCACTCGTTTCCAGCCACTGCTGCCTCCAACCTCCGAGGGGAGAGCCCAGCCAGCAGAACCAGCTCCTCTGCCCAGAGGCCACTGGGTGCTGGTGCCACTGCGCCCTGGCCTCCCTCCCCCCCCCAGCCCAGGCAGGCAGGCACCTTCTCGGAGACCCTGCGGGCGCACTCAATCAGCTCCTTCTTGGTGTAGGTGTCGCTGGGGCTGCACTGGAGGGCTCCCGCCTTCGTCACCAGCGCCGCACAGCCGTGGCCCAACTCCTGTACCCGGTTCTTTATGTGGGAGCCAATCTGGAGGGGAAAGAAGGCTGTGGGAGCCTGGCTGTGTGGCGCTCATCTTCTGCCCACACCTCCGTGTGCGGCTGCTGCTTCTCTCCCCCAGCCCCACCTGACCTCCAACCACCCCTTTCCCCATTCCAGCCGCCAGAGGCAACAAGGTCCTTCTCAGCCTTCTGGGTTCAGGAAGAGCAAGAAGAACCCAACGTTTGATGCCCTGCCAGCCTGAGGCTCACAGCTCTGGGCAAATCAACCAGCTCCCCACCACATCCCTGTCCCACTGCCCAACCACCAGGGACGTCCCCCCCCCTCACCTCATCATTCTCAGCCGTGATGGCAGCCGGCTTAGCCTGGAGCGCCAGCTGTCCGTAGTCGCTGGTGAGCTGGTTGGCCAAGGTGCCCAGTTCGTCCGGGTTGGTGGTGGATTTGGTGACCTGGAAGAGGGTAGGGGCAGTTGAAGGGGGAAGAAGAGAGAGGCACCCCCAAATCCTGGCAGAAGGCAGTCTGGCCAGGTGGCGGAAGGAAGAGGCGGGTTCTCAAAGGGGCCTGGCCCAGATCTCCCCACGGAGGCCTCCCCCACAACACCCCCAATGCCTCACCATCTCCTGGACGGTCACAGCAATGGCCTTGGCGGTCTTCACCATGGTGGTCTGGTAGTCCACAAAAGTCCCCTCTGGCTCTCCCACGGGGCCTTCATCCAGCTGGGCGGGAAGAAAGAGAAACATCTCCTTTCAGAGGACACCAAGGCTGCCTCTGACCCCCAAGCGGCTGAGCTCCACTGCTGGCCCTGGAAGCACCCTGGCCTCTGCTGCCTCTGCAGTAGGAGGCCCACCCCTGGACCCAAGAGGCACCCAAGAAGCTCCCAAGGCCTTCCTGGAGACAACCCTGTGGGGGGAGGGAACTTCCTGGGGAAGCCCGGCAGGGAGTGCCGTATAAATCCAAGGTGGTGGGTTGGAACAAAGGCACCAGGAATTTCAACGTAAAAGGGAGCAGACGTGGTCTGATTACTTGTTCCATGTCCAAAGTGGAAATGAATCCAGCAAACACAACCAACTTCCGGGGAGAGGAAAGGGCAGATTGATCTCTTTCTGACTGATCTCTGCTGACAGATCATTACGTGGTGATTGACAGCAATCAGACAGAAGGTCTGGTGATCAAATCACTCTGCGTTAAAGTCACGCAAATGCTCTGACCAAGGCTGTTTGAGCCAAGGAACTGACATCATGTTCAAACGCCACATAAAGCCTGATTTATGGTTGACAATAAAGATTAAACATATGAGGGAATTCCTCATGTGAAAAATCAATATTTGTTTTTCTTTCAAAAGAAGAAACTGGGAACTGAAAGAAAGATGGCCATTATTTCCTGTGTGGGAAAAGACTATTGTAGTGACAGTGATCTTAAGGTGGAAATCTTAGAGTCGGGAATTATGAAAAGATTGAGTTGTTAATAACATCAAAAACATCCAAAGTATCCAGTTTGGCAAATATATCTTTGGCTTCCCCAGTGACTGTTGGTATTATTCGGCAGTTGATGGCTGAACAATTAGAAATGATCAGATTGCTGAGAGCATTTGCAGTTGACTTAGTATTGACGTTACAGGAGCCAGAATCTAGTACTAAAAGGGTTTTAGAATTAATTCAAGAATTTGGTCAAGTGGCAAGATTTAAATTGAACAAGCTAAAAACTAAGGTTTTAGAGAAAAATTTAACACCGATTGAAAGAGAGAGGTTTCAGAATGAGACAGGCCTGACTGTGGTTAAGAAAGTGAAATACCTGGGGATTAATATGACAGCCAAAAATGGGAACTTATTTAAAGATAATTATGAAAAATGTTGGACGGAAGTGAAAAAGATTTAGAAATCTGGTCAAATTTGAAGCTTTCACTGTTGGGTCGTATTGCTGTGATAAAAATGAATGTATTGCCTAGAATGTTGTTTTTGTTTCAGACATTGCAAATTGTGGACAAGATGGACTGTTTCAAGAAGTGGCAGAGAGATATTTCTAGATTTGTCTGGCAGGGCAAGAAGCCCAGAATAAAATTTAAGATATTCACTGATGCAAAGGAAAGAGGTGGATTTGCCCTGCCAGACTTTAAACTTTATTATGAATCAGCAGCTTTTTGCTGGTTGAAAGAATGGCTACTTCTTGAAAATACAGACATTTTGGATTTAGAAGGTTTTAACAACGTATTTGGATGGCATGCATATTTATGGTATGATAAGGTCAAAGCACATAAAGCATTTAAAAATCATATTGTCAGGAAAGCACTGTTTAATGTTTGGATAAGATACAAGGATTTATTGGAAAATAAAACCCCAAGGTGGTCGTCACCGATGGAAGCGAAAGCTCTGAAAAGGCTCAATATGGAGGCCAAATGGCCGAAATATTGGGAAATTTTGGAACAAGAAGGAGACAAATTGAAATTGCAGAGTTTCGAGAAACTAAAAAACAAAGTGAGAGATTGGCTTCATTATTATCAGATAATGGAGGCATATAATTTGGATAAGAAAATTGGCTTCCAGGTGGAAAAATCAAAACTAGAAACAGAACTGTTAGAACCCAAAACTAAGAATTTGTCAAGAATGTATAACTTGCTGTTGAAATGGAATACTCAGGATGAAACGGTGAAATCTGCTATGATTAAATGGGCACAAGATGTTGGACATAATATTATGTTTGCTGACTGGGAACAGTTATGGACCACAGGTATGAAGTTTACGGCATGTAATGCCCTAAGAGAGAATATTATGAAAATGATATACAGGTGGTACATGACCCCAGTCAAGCTTGCAAAAATCTATCATTTGCCCAACAATAAATGCTGGAAATGTAAAGAAACTGAAGGTACATTCTTTCACCTTTGGTGGATGTGCCCAAGGATTAAGGCTTTCTGGGAAATGATATATAATGAACTGAAAAAGGTATTTAAATATACCTTCTTGAAGAAACCAGAGGCCTTTCTTCTGGGCACTGTCGGCCAATTGGTGCCAAAGAAGGACAGAACTATTTTTATGTATGCTACAACAGCAGCAAGAATACTCATTGCAAAGTATTGGAAGACACAAGATCTACCCACTTTGGAAGAATGGCAGATGAAGGTGATGGACTATATGGAATTGGCAGAAATGACTGGCAGAATCCGAGACCAGGGAGAAGAGTCGGTGGAAGAAGATTGGAAGAAATTTAAAGACTATTTACAGAAATGTTGTAAAATTAATGAATGATAGAATGATGCTGGATAGTAATTAAGCGGTTTCCAGCTGTAATGTTCTAAGAGAATATGAAAAAAGGGTTATAAATGGGTTAAAATCTAATGGTAAGGATTTGCTGAACCAATAAATTGAAGTGGAATACAAAAAAGGGAGGTACGAGGAGGTCCGGGAAACAAGCTAAAGGAAAATAAGTAATAGAAAATATGTGTGTTTTTAACTGTTTTTATTTTGTATTTTTCTTTTTTCTTTTTCATTTTCACTATAATATTTCAAAAAACCTTAATAAATATCTTATAAAAAAAAATAGAAATGATCAGATTGATGTTTCATGAAAAGGGAAAAGAAAAAGAATCAGAGAGATATGAAATGAAAAATGGAACCGGAGATTAGATTTCAGACAAAATCGATGAAAAGTTGGTAAGACTGGAGAAAGCAGGTGGTGAAATGGAAATGCCTTTCATCTGGGGGCTTGGAGGAAAAGGGAAAGATAAAATAATAAATGGAAAGATAGATATGAATGAAAAAACACAGTTGACAATGACTAATAATAATAATAATTTGGAAACCCCTCTTGGATTTTCGTGGGAAAAAGAAATGAATGATTTTGAGACACGTGGACTCAGAATAAATATTACTGCACAGAAAGTGGAGAAGATGGATGTTATCATGGACAGAATGTCTTAAATAACATTTTTTATGTAACTGGTGGATGGAAAATTGGAGGTCCTTTTTATCTTTTTTAATTGTATCTTTCCGCTTTCTCTCTCTTTTCCTTTGCTTTCCTTTTTCTCTCTCTTTCCTTTCTTCCTGTTTCTTTCTTTCTTGTTCTGGTAGCTGTTTTCATTTCTGCTTTTATTTACGTTAGTTTTCTATATCTTACCATATTACGAAATCTTCAAATAAAAATCTTAATGTGAATGCAGCAAACACAATCAGGATTTGCTTTTGCTACTCTTTTAGTCTGCAAATGATACACAATTGATAACATTCCCCCTAATCTTCAACTGTAGTGTAATTAGGCAATTATGTAAAATTCCGCTACGGTGGAGTGGGACAAAGAGCATTTTTGTGGGAAGCAGAAAACTGCAGCCGAAGAAACAGTCCTGCGTGTGACGAGGAGGGGGGAACAGACCTCCCTGCCTTCTCCCCTCCCCTTTGGGGGGGCCCATTAAAAGTCAAAGGGGGGTTGCGCTCTGGGGAAGGAGTCGCACCTGGTTGATGGCTTGAGTGATGGAGTCCACCATGCCGCCAACCACGCCTGCCGCGCTGGCCGCCTCGTTCAGGGTGGCCGTCAGGTCCTCCACGGCCTCCTTCATCATCTGCGCAGACTCCTCGAGGGCTTCCTGCGTGTGGGCTGCTTGCTGTGGGGGGAGAAGGCGATGCATCACCTGCTCGCTCAGAAGCGCCTCGCTGCTCATCATTCCCATCTGAGCGACACTGGTGTGGCGCTCCCCACCTGCCCGGCAGGCCCCTCTGGGAACGGCAGAGCCAGCCTCCCTCTCCCTGCCCCAGAAGAAGAAGAAGAGGAGGAGTTTGGATTTGATATCCCGCCTTTCACTCCCCTTCAGGAGTCTCAAAGCGGCTCACATTCTCCTTCCCCTTCCTCCCCCACAACAAACACTCTGTGAGGTGAGTGGGGCTGAGAGACTTCAGAGAAGTGTGACTGGCCCAAGGTCACCCAGCAGCTGCAGGTGGAGGAGCGGAGACGCGAACCCGGTTCCCCAGATTAGGAGACTACCGCTCTGAGCCACTACACCACACTGGCTGGCACCTTGGGGTTCCCTCCGGCCTCCTTGGCCGTGTAGAGCATCTGCAGGGCTGACTCTGCCAGCGTCTTCGTCTGGTCCAGGAGGTTCATCTGCTGCTGGCTGTTGAGGGTCTTGGAGGCAGCCCCCACGGCCGCCAGAACCAGCGGCTGAAAGTACTGAGCCAGCTGAGAGACCTGGAGGGAGAGAAGGGGCAGGTGAACGGGGGGAATCCCCGTCTCCCTGGCAGGGGGCACACAGCGCCAGGGAGGCCAGCCCTCCTGCAGCTCCTGCCTCAGGCACCCTGGGTGCAGAAGAGGGCCACGTCTGAGAGAGGACACCCCTCAACGGCTTTTGCTGTGTGATTCAGTCACAATGAGCAAAACCTCAGCAGAAGAGGAGAACCGTAAGGAGGGAGGCAGAGGAGGAGGAAGGAGAGGCAAAGGGGCTGCTCTGGCACTTCCCTTCAGCAGCCTGAAGAGTCTGCCAGGAGAACCCCTGGCATGCCACTCTGTGCCACAGGAGGGCAGGAGATCTCCCCAGTGAGTGCCAGGGGCCAAGCACCCCTTCTGGACTGAGTTTGCTGCTTTGCTCATCAGCCTGGTTGCCATGGCATTGAAGGCAAAGCCTCAGGTACGCCAGGGACCCTGGAGAAGAGATCTCTGGCCACACCTAAGGCCTCGCCCTCAATGCCAGGGCAGCTGGACTGGCCTTCGCTCTCCCGCCCGCAGCTCCTTCCAGAATCCCAGGCCCACAGAAGTCCCCTCTCTGGCACCAGAGGTCCAAAGCCTCCCCTTTGCTTGCTGGTATTCTTCCTCACTCCCAATATGCCATCATCCCTCACAGGAAGAGCCCAAGCCAGGCCACTGGCCCCCCTGGCACAGGGCTTCCTGCACAGGCTGGCAGCAGTGGCTCTGCAGGGATTCAGGCAGGTGGGCTGCCAGTGGGGATGGAAGCAGGAACCTTCTGCCTGCCCAGCAGCTGCTCTGGCCCTTCCCCACCAGCAACTCTCGTTAGGCAGCCCTTGGCTCTGCCTTCTTCCAGCACCCCCCCATCCCTGCCCCCCACCAGCCCCCCATCTTCTTACCTTGTGCCCCAGCTGGGAGGCCTCGGCTCGAGCTGCCCCAGCCACCGGCTCAATGAGGTTGTTGATCTCCTGGACGGCCGTGAGCATCTGGTTGTGCAAGGCCTGCGAGGGAGAAGGGAGGGAGGGAGAGTTCCTGGCAGGCCCATTTGGGGAAGGGGGCACGAAGCCTGATGCCATGAGTGGGGAAGACCCAGCTGTTCAGAGTCAGAGCCCCACAGGTTCCCCCTCCCCACAAACACTAGAGCCCAGCAATCCCCCTGGCCCACAGGGGCAGCTCCTGACTGGGAAGGTGTTGCAGGCACAGCAAAGGGACTGGGCAGGATTTGTCCCATGTGGGCTGTGGGCCTGTTTTTCACCAGTGAAAGGATGTTTCCTATTCCAATGACTGGTCTCCTGCCCACCACTGGCATCCTGGATGGCGGCTAATGGATTGAGGTTGAATCCTGACAAGACAGAAGTACTGTTTTTGGGTGACAGGAGGCGGGCAGATGTGGGGGACTCCCTGGTCCTGAATGGGGCAACTGTGCACCTGAAGGACCAGGTGCGCCACCTGAGAGTTATTTTGGACTCACAGCTGTCCATGGAGGTCAATTCTGTGTCCTGGACAGCTACCAGCTCCATGGTAGCTGGTACGCAGGCTGAGACCCCACGTGCCCGCAGTCTGCCCAGAGTGGTGCATGCTCTGGTTATCTCCTGCTTGGACTACTGCAATGCGACCTACGTGGGGCTACCTTTGAACGTGACCCGGAAACTGCAGTTAATCCAGAATGCGGCAGCTAGACTGGTGACTGGGAGCAGCCACCGGGACCACATAACATCGGCCTTGAAAGACCTACATTGGCTCCCAGTACGTTTCTGAGCACAATTCAAAGTGTTGGTGCTGAACTTTAAAGCCCTAAACGACCTCGGCCCAGTATACCTGAAGGAGCGTCTCCACCCCCATCGTTCTGCCCGGACACTGAGGTCCAGCTCCGAGGGCCTTCTGGTGGTTCTCTCCTTGCGAGAAGCGAGATTACAGGGAACCAGGCAGAGGGCCTTCTTGGTAATGAAACCCGCCCTGTGGAATGCCCTCCCATCAGATGACATCTGATGTCAGCCCTGTTTAGGAAAGTTTTTAATGACTGATGTTTTAATGTATTTTTAATATTTTGTTGGAAGCTGCCCAGAGTGGGGAAACGCAGCCAGATGGGCGGGGTATCAATAATAAATTATTATTACTCGCTCACTCACCTCCTGAGAAATGCCCTCGCGAGGTGCCAACTGCTGGCTGATGGCGGCCAAGGACGCCTGGTCCACGTCCCGAATGCACTTGGTCAGCAGCTCAATGGCCTCGTCGCATTCCCGCTGGCCAGGAGCCTTGTCTCTGCCAGGAGGAGGGCAGACCATCAGCGTGGCTGAACCCACCAAACACCCAGAGTGGCCAACACCCTCCCCCTGGCACAGCCCTGGCAGCGCGGGAAGGCATGGCGGGCACCCGGCACCCCCACCCGGCAGCTGTGGTTCTCACCTCATGTTGGTGATGAGCTTCTTGATGGAATCGGAGACGGTCCGCGAGTGTCCGGCCAGCACTGACCACTTGGGTGGGTCCTTTGGGTTGACGGCCAGAGAGCGAGCTGTCTGGATGAGGCCGGCGGAGCTCTCCAGCATGGTCTTGGCAGAGGAGATGATGGGCTCCATGGCTCTGCGCCCCTGCAGGGGTGGGGGGAGCGCCAGGTGGTCAAGGGGAAGCTGGTGAGCAAGTGGGGGCACAGCTGGGGCTCTGAGAAGCCCCCCACCAAGTCTAACTCCCTGCTCCCCCGAAAAGGATGCTGCCCTTGGCAGCAGAGGAAATATCTCCCCACCAGGCCCTGACTGGGTCCTGCCCCCCGACTTACCTCTGGGCTGATCTGAGCAGGAACGGTAGCAAACTCTGGGTTGGAGGCAAAGGCGGTCAGGTTGTCCACAGCCTCAATGAGGGGGGAAGTGGCCTCGCGGCAGCGCTCCCGGTTCTCTGGGGTGAAAGCGCCGTCCAGAGCCTGCAGGGAAGGACAGAGGGACGGGCAGCACTGGCCTTTGGGCTTCCTCCCCACAGATTAAGCCCACGGCCCAAGAGGACGTGGGGCTGCCAAGGTGGACTCCCCACTCCAGCAGCTCCTCCAGGGACACGATCCCCTGAGCTCCCCATGAGAAGGACCAGGCCCTTTGGGTCGAATCCTTCAGCTCCAGCCAGCGCCACCCCTCCCCTGAATCTGCTTTTTGTCAGATGCCAAATACTTCTGGGATTGCTCAGCCAGCAGCTCCGTTCCTGGCAGGCAAATCTACTGGCGCAGCGACAGAAATGAGTCTCCTTTGACGTCCAGCGGCTGCACCAGCAAATTGTCCAGCCTGGCTCTGAGGCTTTTCTCCTTCATTTTTGTGTTCATGAAGGTAATGATCTAATCTCTAATCACTAGTCCTCGTGTGAAGGACGAAGGACCCCTTTCCACTCTGTATCACAGCCCCTAAGCCCCCTTTCAGAGCTCCGGCTCCTGGCTCAAGACCGGCTCCCCACGCCGCTTCACGGGCTGAACCCCAGAGACTGGCGTGGGGAAACAGGGGGAGCTTTCCCTTGGGAGCTGGTGGTGGCAGAGCAAGGCCAGGGAGGGGCTGCCTCACCAATGCTTGCCCTTGACCAGAGAAAAAAGGGGGGGAGAGAGAGCTTGAGAAAGAGAAAGAGATGGGGTGGGGTGGGGGAGAGAAAACACAAAAGAAAGAGGGAGAGAAAGAGAGGGAGAAAAGAGAAAAAGATTTAGAGGGGAACAGAGAAAGAGAGAGAGAAAGGAGGGCTTCCCCCTTCCCAGGCTCATCACAGTGTCATCCCACCCACGTGCCCCGACACCTGTCAATCAAGTACCTTGATGGTCTTGACCAGGTTGGCGGTGCTGTTGGCCACCTCCTTGGCAGACTGGACAAACTGGCGCTTGGCCACTGGGTTGGCGGTGCGAGATGAGGCCAGCCGGCAGGTGTTGCAGAGGGCAGAGGTGTGCTTGGCCACGATGGTGGCGGCTGAGAGGACCTGCGGGAGGCAGCGGAGGGTCCTCCACGTTAGGCCACGGCAGGCGGACGGCAGCCAGGGAGGTGGGGGGCCTGCAAGTCCTCCTGCCTGGCCCCTGGAGATGGGCATGTGGAGACTCGTGGCACAGGGCACAGGAAAACCCTTCCTTCCTTCCCCACTTTTGGACCCCGGCTGAAGCCTCGCCACCACAGCAGGTCTCCAACCTCCCAGTCCGAGGTGCCCCCTTCTTACGGCACCGTCAACATATGCAGCTGGCTTCCATCCTGGCCCCTTGCGGGACTTGACAAAGGACTAAACCAGCAACACACACACATGCCTCACAAGGGGCTCTGGCTGTGCTCCCCCACCCCACCCCATGGCTCCCTTGCACAGCCTGGGCGATGCGCCACCCAAGGGCTCACCTGGGACTGGGTGCAAGCCGGGTCAATCAGGTTCTGGCAGGCCATCTGGATGGCTTGGTTGGCTCTTGCAAACTGGGTGGGCTCCACCAAGCCTTGCTGTCCTGCCTGGCTATTGGGGTCCGAGACGCCAACCAGGTAGGCAGCCTGGGAGCAGAAGGAAGAGACGTAAGAGGTGGGGGGGGGGTGAGCAACGGAGCAGCCAGACGCTCTCCCTGCACCCCAAAAGGAGAGCCCCCACCCCCTCCTTTCCCGTGGCCTCCCTACCTGGGCAGCCGCTTCCGTGAAGCCGCAGAGGGCCTTGGAGGCGGTGCTGATGGAGTCGCCAAACTCGGGCAGCTTGCTGTTCTTGGCATTCTGGGAGATGCCGGCCATGGCTTCCCCCAGGACCTGCAGAAATAAGGAGGGAGAGGGTGGGTGCCAGGCCTGGGAGGGGAAGCAGAGCCCCAAGGAGCCTCCCAGGGCTGGGGTCACAGAAAGCAGCCCCTGCCCACCCCCCAAAAGAGAGAGCCCCCCTACTCACCTTGGAGTTCTCCATGACACTGTCCAGACAGTTGAAGTACGACATGTCGTTGACGGCCTGCGTGGGATTCTCCAGCAGCTCTCGCACCGTCTGGGGAGGGGGAAAGGCAGCTCAGGGCTCCCCCACCACCACTGCAGGCCCCTCCTGGAGACTCCCCTCCCGCCTGGCAGGCTGTGGTCCCCCGACAGCGGCCCCCACCCCCCTTCGCTGCACAGAAGGCTACCTCCAGCTCCCGCAGGGCGTTGTCGCACTCCTTCTGGCCGGGCGCTTGCTGGGTGCACATGGTGATCAGCTGGTTGATGCTGTCCGTCACGGCCCTGCAAGGACAGAGGCAGCCCATGAGCCCCCCCTGTGCCCCCCCCCAGCCATGGCCAGCCAGCCACTCCGGGAAGGAGCTTCCACAGCCAAGAGACAACACAAAGCAGTCTTCCCTACTCTCATCCCCCTCCCTCGCCCCCCTGCAGGAGGGAGCCCCTACCTGGCAGCGGCTGCCAGCTGGTTCTTGAGGTTGGGGGCCGCAGGGTCAGCGGAGAGGGCCTTGGCGGCCAGGAGGAGCTTGCTGGACGACATGGAGATGCTCTTCAGGTTGGAGACCACCTGGGCCTGGGCTTCCCTGGACTGCGGGGAGAAAGGGAGGGAGGGAGGCAGAAGGAGGGGTCACTCGGCCGTCCGCCCCAGGCCAGGGGGCCTTGCATTCACCCAACAGCCCCACTGCCAGCCAACCAGCTTGGCATCAACTCGTTCCTTGGGACGAGGGGCACTCCAGTCAGCACCTGCACCTGCTTTCGTTACTACGGTTGAAAAGCCACATAAAGCCAATCTGCTGTTTTACTAGGGAGCTGTCAGGGCTCCCAGGCCCAATCCAGCCAGGTGCTGAGCCTGAATGGAGGAGCAGAGTGAGACTCCCCACCTTGCCCTCCAGGCAAATGGACATTTTGGCAGAGCCCTGACTGAGCAGCCTGCCCTTCTTCCAGAGCCCGTCCCTCCGGGGAAGATGGTCCCCTGGCACTGCCCACCCGAGTCCCTCTCTAACCCCACTGCGTGCACACACACACACACAGGTTCAATTTGCCCCCCTGCGTACAGCCCTCCCTCCGCGAGGGGGTCTCTTACCGGCGACTGGCCGGCCATCTCCACACCGGCCTGCAGGAACTCGTTGAAGTCTTGGCCGAACTTGCCGGAGGCCTTGGCCAGGTCCTGGGGGGTCCCGCGAGACGCCTGCACCAGCTCCGTGGCCGACTGGTTGAGGCCAGCAGCTGCCTGGTTCAGGTGACTCTGGGCCTCCTGGAAGTTTTTGCCACTGGGGGGGAACTTAAGGGCGGGGGGGAACGAGAGGCAGCTTCAGGCACGGGACTCACAACAGGGCTATCCCCCCCGCTCCCTTGACATGCAAAGAGACACTGCCTATTGGCCAGAATAAATTACAGCAGCACCTCTTCCGTCTTCAGATACAAGCCCTGGGCTTCCCTTGGACCAGGGATAAAAGCAAGAGTCAGGTCCACCTGCCCAGGTATTACTTGGCTGGGATGGATCTGCTGCTCTCTGTGCTGATATTTGTACCGCTCCTTTCATGGACGTGAATTAATGTTTTCTTGTATCCATGGGACAGCAGGACGGACGACTGGGAAGAAGGGGCCAGATTTTCCCTCGTTGGAGGTTTTAAAGCAGAAATCCCATGGTTGCCTGTCGGGGATTCTCTAGCTGTAATTCCTGCACTGCAGGAGGCTGGACTAGATGAGCCCTGGGTGACCCTTCTGACTCTACAATTTGTATCCTGCCTCAGAATGGCTTTGACAACAAGGAGCAGGACAGAAATGCTTTAAGTAACTGATGGGGTTTTGCTCTGCAGGATCACTAATGCTGGGGAAACCCAGCCAGATGGGCAGGGTATAAATAATAAATCATTATTATAATGCAGAGGTAGTCAATGGGACAGCCCTAGAGCCACGAGCGAGACAGGGTGCGACTCTCGGGGTGTGTTGTGCCGGGGCCATTTTCAAAGGGGAGGGATAACTGCAGCCCAGAGGAGGGTGGGCAGACACGCTGCCTTGGGTTGTACAAGGGCCCCTCAGTTTGCTAAACTGGTCCCAGTGCTGAGGGGCCAGGAGACAGGCCTCCTCGAGGGCCCAGACCCCCCAGAGGGGATGCCCTCCCCGCCTCCCGCCAAGCCAGAGAGAGAAGGGAAGGGGCTCACCGAGTCAGCCAGGAGCCTCTTGCTGGCCTCGCCCACCGTGCGAATGGCGGCGTCCACATCCCGTTGGCCAGGAAGGCAGTTGACGCAGCGGTTGAGAGCCTGAGAAACGGCCTTGGCCACCTGCCAGGAGAGGGCAGAGCGGCTCAGTGAGGAGGGCCACAACCCCCCACCCCACCCACGGCCCCCACGCCAGGCCGAGGCTCACCTGCGCCAGGCGCTGCTGGCTCTCGGGGTCTCCCGGCTTGGCCACGGCCTTGCGGGCCTCCTCTATCAGGTTGCCAGCCTTGTCCATGACGTCGCCCGCGCACTCCAGCATGGCGGCCTGGACCTGCGGCTCCTCCGAGTTGGCAGCCACCCCGCGGGCAGCTTGGCTCAGGGAGCGCAGCGCATGGGCCACATCGCGGGCAGCAATCCCTGGGGGAGGGAGGGAGGGGGAGAGGGCAGCGTCAGCCCCCCAGGCAAGGACCCTCCCTCCCCAAGAGGGGGTGAGGAGGAAGAGGAGGAGGAGGATGGGTCCAATCCAGACCCAGGAGGAACAGAGGGATGTCTCCTGAACTAGGCATAGCAAGGGGGGAGCCTGCCACAGCTGGGGGGAGGAGCAAGGGAGGCTGCTGGTGGGGAGGGGGCTTGGGGGGCACGGAGGAGTACCTGTGTAGTTTTCGTTGCCCTGGGCAACCTCTCCCAGCAGCTGGGCGATGGCGGAGCTGACGGCCTTGGTGCTGTTCCCCAGGTCCTGGGCGCTCTTCTCCATCTGCAGGACACAGAGAGTCAACAGGCCCCCGTGCCCCCACCTCCCCCTTGTGCCTGCTGTGCCCACCCCACGCCTTCTGACCCCCACGCCCTCCTCTGCTCACCGTCTCTCCCGGAAGAGGTTTCAGCTTGCCCTCTCTGGCTGCCGTCTTGGCTTCCTGCAAGTCCCTCTCCAGGCTCTGTACCAAGCTGAGGGCCGAGTCGATCTCCAGGGGGCCGCAGGCCTCTTGTGCCTGCCGTGGAACAGGAGGGTGTCATCCCCAGGGGGCGCTACATGTCAGCCCCAGCCCCTGCCACCATCCCGCACTGAGGGCCTCAGCATGGCTTCCTCCACAGAAGACTGGCAGAAGACTCCGTGGGGAGGGAGCTCCCCTTCACCCCACAGAGAACCAATGGCCACAAGAGGCAAGAGGAAGAAGCAGCAGCAGCAGCCACCACGGCTGTGCAGAGGGCGGGGGGCTTGACGGCGGCTCCTCCTTACCTTCTGTGCGGCCGTGCGAAGTTCAGCCAAGGCGGCTGCCAGGTTCTTGGCGCACTGGCTGAGCTGCATGGCGGAGGCCTGGTCCGAGATGGTGGGCACTGTGGCCTTGGCTGCGGCCACCATCTTCCCGCCGGGCTGCAGCCGGGGGAGGGAAAGGAGAGTGGTGACCACGAGGAGCCCCCAATCCTGAGGAGCCCCCCCCCTGGGGTGCCCACGCAACCTGCCCCCTTGCCCTGTGGGCGCCCTCTGCTGCCCATCCCCTCACCTGCAGGAAGTTCTGGCTGGCAGCAATGAGAGCCAGCTGGGCGCTGGGGCTGTCGGGCTGCGACTGGCTCCCCCGGACGCCCTGGACCAGCATGGGGATCTGATCCGCCACCACCTGGAGGAGGGCGGGAGAAAGAGACAGTTGGGGGGCCTCCATCAGAAACCCATCTTGGTCCTTCTTGCCCCAGAGGGGCCAGGAGAGTCTCTGGGGCTCAGGGGGTGAGCCCACCAACACCCAAAGGAAGCAAGAGGCGCCCACAGTAGGAAGTACTTGTGGCCGGTGTTTCTGATCAATGTCATAGCAGCCATTCATTAATAACAATAACAACAACAACAACAATAAATTATTTATACCCCACTCATCTGGCTGGGTTTCCCCAACCACTCTGGGCGGCTCCCAACAGAATATTAACAACAACAACAACAAATCAATAAAACATCAGACACTAAAAACTTCCCTAAACGTGGCTGCCTTTATTTATTTACTTGGCAGCAGCCGCCCCTGTCAAATGAATGAATGTATGTTATGGTTAGTTATATCGCTATCAGTATTGTTATTAAAATTATTGTGTTATGCATTGTGTGTTTTTGTGCCGTAACCTGACCTGTGATCTTTGGATGAAGAGTGGTATAGAAATTTAATTAATAGCAATGGCCGCAACAGCAACAATAAGGAGAGGTTGGGATGGCCTCTCACCGCCCCCCCCCCCCCAGCCAGAAACCCACACTGAGGCCAGGGGGCGGGGAGGGCAAGCTCAGCACTCTCTTCCCTCCCTCCCTCCCTCCCTCTCACCTTGCAGCTCTGCACCAGCTGCTGGTGGGCAGCCGGGTTCTTGTTGGTGGTGGCTGCATGCTGGGCGGCTGCGATGGTTTGGGTGGCGGCGGCGGCTGCTTGCTTGGCTGCATGCTGGGGAGAGAGAAAGTGGGGGACGGGGTGAGGCCAGGAAGGCCCCCTGCTCTGCCCAGCCGGCCAGGCTGTGGCAAGCGACTGGCATGGGCACACACACGCCACTTGCAGCACTCACCTCCAGCCGGTGCACCAGCTTCTTCTTGATGGCGTTCTGGGCGGCTGCGTTGGTGGCCATGCGCAGGCCCTCAGCCGCCTCCCGCAGGCGCTGCTGCTGCTCCTCACTGTCTGGGTGGGCTGCAGCCCCCTGGTGGGCAGGGAGCAGGAGGGGGAGACTGGTCAGAATGGCCCCCGCCAGGCCACCCACCACCACCTCACAGGGACCAGGAGCAGGGAGTCTGAGCGGGTGGTGCCAGTGAGGCTCCCACCAGGAGCCCGGGGGGCACTGGCAAGGGGAACGTATGTGGCTGGCACCAGAGGGCATGAGGACAGGTTGAGAGGGCATCACCCGGGGGAAGTGGACAACCCCCTCCCTGAAATGGGATGTGGCCAGGAGGGCATCATTGTGGGCACAAACGTGGCACTCAGTTGTTGCTTCCCAAGGAAGGGGAACCAATCCAGGGTTGGGGAGGCTCTCCCTGGCCACAGCGCCAGCACCCTCCTTCCACTGCCAGAAGCAGGACATGAAGTCGTGGTTCCTGAGTTGCCAGAGGGTGGTCTAGATGACGCTTGGGGCCCCTCCCTCCTCTACAATTCTTTGACCCTGTTGCTGGGAACTCCAGGCGGGGAGCGTCACTGCTGCCGCCCTCAGGCCCTGCCGCTGGCTGGCCCCTGGGAAGAGGAGGCAGGGCTGGAGGGGCACAAGGGCAGAGGTCCCACAGGTAGGCCTGCGCCTGACCCCTCCACCTCGCTCCCCTGCCAGGCATCTGCCCAGCCCCTCCACCGACGCCACACCTTGGCTGCCTCCACCATCTTGGCCGTGGCGTCCGCCAGGATCTTGGCCGCACTCAGCAGTTTGCGCGAGTTCTCCAGGTCCGTCTCCCCTTCGGCATCGGCCTTGATGGCGTTCACCAGGTCGGAGGTGGCTTGAGCCAGGATGCGGGCCTGACGCACCATTTCCCCTGGGGAGGAGGAGGAGGAGAGAGGTGAGGGCCAGCCCCACAGACGGACCCTGAGACGCCCTCAGCCATCCCTCCCGCCCACGTGGCCAGCCCCCCCCCAGCCTCCGTGGATGGGCCCCAAGGGGTCCCTCCCCCCAAGGCCCGCTCACCCGCATCCCCCATGGAGCTGAAGATGTTCTCCGTGACGTTGAGGATGGTGTCGGTGGCCTGGTCGTAGCGGCCGATGGGCTGCCCGCCCGTGGCATGCTGCTTGATGTGCTCCAGCAGGTCGTTAAGGGCTTGTGTCACGGCCGTGGCCGCCACCCCCACCTGCTTCAGCAGCTGCTCGTCGCCCGTGGCCGCCTGCGACGCGTCCACACAGCTCTCCACCGACTTGGCCACCAGCTTGCCAGCTTCCACCAGCTGCTCCTGGCAGACGGGCGAGCTGATGGTGGGCGCCACCACCTGCCAAGGAGGAGGAGGAATGGACAAGGCACAGGGCGGTCAGAGCAGTGGCCCAGCCTGCCCCAGCCCCACTTCCCACAGGGCTGAGAAAGCACCCTTTGGGGAGATGGCAGGGGCTGGCTTACGCTCCTCAAATGAGGGCCTTCTCCAAACGGAAGCCCAAACAGTGCCCCTCCACCGAGGCAGGTGTTTCCTGGAAGAGGAACAACCAAGGCCAGCTGCTGCCCCAGACCCTGAGCGGGGCCAGGGTGCCAGGGGTGGGTGCTCAGGGCCTGCCACTCACCTTGGTGCAAGCCACCAGCTGGGAGGTGGAGAGGGCGCACTGCGTGGCAGCAGCAATGACCTGTGTCTGCAGCACCGAGTCCTCCGTCTTCTGGGCCACGTTCTTGGCTTTCAGTACCAAGGCGGCAGCGGCACTGGCCACGGCCTTCGCCAGCTGCATCAGCATGTCCTGTCGGGGGGGGGGGAGGAAGAGGGGGCATTGGCTGGTTGCGCTCATGAAACATTCAGCAGGGAAACCCGAGCTGGGCAAGGAGGGCCCTTCCAGGCTCTCCTGGCGCAGGTGAGATCATCCTTCTTCCGCCTCTGCCAGCACAAACCTCACCCCTCCGTGCTCCTGCGGCACTCAGCCCCCCCCAGACACCCCCCCAACCACACCCTCTCTGGCCTCAATCACAGGCGCAGAGAGCACCGCGCACCAAACCCGTCACCAAGAGGAAGCGCCCACAGCCCCCCACCGCAAGGACCGGGAGGGGGGAAGAGAAAATGCTCGGATTCCCCTGCTGCCAAAGCAGCCAAGACCCCACATGGGGCGCTGGGGGCAGAAGGAGCCTCCAGGCCGCCTGCCCTGATGCAGGCCCAGCGCCGAGAGGCTGGCAGGGTTCCCTGGCATCTGTGCAGGGAACAGGCAGCGCCAGCTGCTCTTCCAACAGAGGTCCCTGCTGACTTTGCTACCATGCCATGTGGCGGAGAGTCCCACAGGCAGCCTCCTGGGGGTCCTGCCAAATCTGGGCCTACGCGGACCCTCTGGCCGGTGATCTTGGGGGCTTCCTGGCTTGTGGGTCAGAGCCATCCCACCAACTGGAGAGGCCGAGGCTCCTGCAACAGGGGGAGCCGAGCATGAGCCAGCGAGAGCAAGAGCTTGCCCCAAGCCCCTTGGCCAGCGAGCCTCACTGATTGGCAGCAGCGCGGAGGAGGGCTCTGCCCCAGAGAGCACAGCCCCTGCTGGGCTCAGGCCCTTTACCGTCTTGGGGTCAGGGGCGGACAGGGTCCGAGGGCGCCGGCTCTCCACCATCTGCACACGAATCCACAAGACAAGAGAGGTTACTGGGCCCAAGCGCCACCCCCCTGCCCATCCTGTGCCAGAGGGCAGGTGGCCTGCGCCAGGCTGTCCCCCGCCAGGTGTGCCCCAGAGGACTCCCGCTTGCCACTCACCTGGAAATGGGGGTCAGCGTCACTCTCCCCAATCTGCTGCAGCAGTTCCCCACTCGTCTGCCCCACGGCGCCTGCAGCTTGCAAAAGGTTCTGCCGCGGCTGGAGGAGGAAAGGGCTGGAGGTTAGGGGCGGCCCCTGAAGGCAACCCACAAGACCTAAACCTGAACAGGCAGACCCTCGTGGTAAAGTCCCCTTTGTCCAGCTGGGAATGGCTGTCACAGAAAGTGGGCAGAGTTGGGTGCCTGTCGCATCTCTAGAGGAACGCTGTCCCTCAGAATAGGGGCAGCCACACGGAAGGCTCTGCTCAGAGTTAATGTGGAGGTTTCTGGGGTCCATGGAGGCTCGATGGAGAATCACAGCCTCATAGAGTTGGAAGGGACCCCAGGGTCATCTAGTCCAACCCCCTGCAGAGGGCAGGGCTCTCCTGGGTGTAGGAGGGTCAAGGCGGCCTCTCAACACATTAACCATGACATGTTGGCTGAGAACCTTTCGGCGCTGCCAGGCTTCTGAAGACATTTGCAAAAAATGTTTTCGGTAGAAGTTAACTGAGCTGTGGTTTTAGATGTTGCTGTGATTTTAATGTGCATATATGGAGTCACAAAGAGTCGGACACGACTAAACGACTAAACAACTAAACAACAACAAACCGTATTTTTTCGTGTATAACACGCCACCGTGCATAAGACGCCCCCTCTTTTTTGGGACTCCAAATTGAGAAAATGGGGGGAGATTGCCCAGACTTGATGACCTTTTTTTGGGGGGGGGGGGATTTGCTGAAATTTGCTCACCTGCAGGACTGCCACTGCCAATTGCACACATATCAATGAAGCCATCAATCGTATGCATGCTTGCCGAAAGCAAGTGCCAATCGCCCGCACACTTGCCCCAGCAGCCAACAGCCAGCAGACCTTGCCGCAACCACCTACCCCCCGCAAAAACGCCGCTGACAATCTACTGCTCATGGCAGCCACCAATTGTCCGTCCCACCTCTCCACTCTCTGTGTATAAGACGACCCTAAATTTTAAGCATAATTTTAAAATAAAATAACCTCATCTTATACACGGAAAAATACGGTATGTTTTGAAACCACTTTGATCTTTTTTTTAAAAAATGAGATTGCGTGATTCAAGTATAAAATCACAGGCCTGCAGAGTGGGAGGGGACCCAAAGGGTTGCCTAATCCAAGCCCCGCAAGGCGGGAATTGCACGGAAGGGGAGCTTTTCCTTGGACCCAAGCGGCCAGGCTCACCTCTGCGCTGGAGGGCTGTGCGGTCTTCAGCAGCTCTGAGACGGCCCCTGCCAGGTTCTTGGCCGCCTGCAGGAGCTGCCTGCCGTTGCCTCCCTCGTCCTCCATGAGGGCGGCCAGCAGCTTGACCCCCTTGGACATCTCCGTCAGGTTGGAGGAGATGGTGGTGACGGCGCAGCCCACGGCTGTGTAGTCCGTCTCGGCCGGGTCGCCCGCCGTCAGGTTGACCACGGAAGCCGTGCCAGCCGTGATGGCGTCCACCTGGGAGTGGATCTCGTGCTTCGACTCATCCATCTTGTTCTTGCGCCAGGCTTTGGAGGCCTGGGGGGGGGGGGGAAGAAAAGGGGGCCGTTATTCCAGGACTCCACAGGGGAGGCTCCCCCCTGGAGGGTGCCCAGTCGCCCCCAAGGGCCCCTTCCCTTGGCCGGCCCCACTCACCGCGTCCTGCCCCATGGGGGGCAGCGTGTCAAAGTCCTCCAGGTTGGACTGGGCAGCATGGACCGCCTGCATGCTGGAGAGGATGGTGCCCGTCAAGGCCTGCTGGGCCGAGGTCTGCAAGGAGGAGAAGGAGAAGAAGAAGAAGGGGGCACAGCCTGGCCCTCTCCTGGAGCCCAAGGGCCCCTGAAAGGAGGGGGGCAAGCAGAGAGGCCTGGGTGGGGAGGGGCACCCGTGGGCTGCCATGTGGGTGGGGCTACATAAGCACCACTCCCAGGGCCCTCAGCTCCTGAAGGTAACAGGCCCCTTTCTATGTCCAGCTGTCCTTTGTCAACAACAAATTGTCGCTGGTTTTTGTGTTGAATATATGCTATATGGTCATTTATGGACCTAATAGGTATCTCAAGCCATTTGCACATAACAGTATATGTGTTTTATCCAAGTAATTGTTGAACCGAAGTACAATTAAAAGATGTACATTAATTGCGAAATAGAATTAAAAAGAAGTATATTAATAGTGAAATAGTTATTAAGCTCTAACTTAAAATGATTTTTTTAATCATAACAAACTTAATAATGCAAACACATTGGCATTTGGCAATAACAAAAGGTCCTTTAGAAACACAATTTACAAAGACTCATAATCTAGTCTCTAGGAACTTGCTATAATATGAAAAAATAATAGGTGTAAATATATGATGCAAACTACGAATAATTATAAATATCAGAATGTAGGCCTACTATATATAGAAAGGAGCAAAGCAGGGATATTTGAGGGAGCAGGCTAGCAGGTGGGGCCCATGATTTACATCATAGGAGCCTACACAACACAAAACCTGGTATGTAGGTTTTATTTCATTTGTTTTTTATCTTATATTTTGGAAATGGACATCCAGGTTTTTTTCTTTAATTTTTTGGGGGGCCCCAAGAGAGTGGGGCCCTAAGCTATAGCTTGTTTAGCTTATACGTAAATCTGGCCCTGACCACTTCCCAGCAGCAGCCACGGGTGCAAACAGGCCCAAAGGGAAGAGGACTCTGTGAATCATTGATGTGTAGAGGTAGACAGGACCCCTTGCGGTCATCTAGCCCAACCCCCTGCAAGGCAGGAATTAAAGCATCCCAGAGGGACGGCCACTCAATGCTCTTTGTGCTTCTTCTCCCTCCCACCCCAACCATGGATGATGTGCATGGGAGCGGAGGGGAGAGCGAAGGGCTCCTTACCAGGGGGGGCATGTGCCCACGGTGCATCTGCCCGCTGGTGATCTGCTGCTGGGCCTGGGGCATGGTGCCCATCTTGAAGTTCTCTGGCCCGCCGGCGCCCAAGCGGATGATGCCCGGCAGGGCCAGGGAGCCCGTCTCAGCCTTGTTGACCTGGTTGAACTGCTGCTGGAGGACGGTGGACCTGCGAGGCAAGCAGAGGGAGGGAGGAGAGAAGAAGCACCCCCACTCTGGGCAGCGGCAGCCCCCCCCCCGTCCCCCTCTCCCTCCAGACTTACTTTTTTGGGGAGACGGACTCCTCCAGCATGGTCGATTCCTCGTCCCCCTCCAAGCCAAAGTGGTCTTTGCTCTTTTTCTGTAGGGCAGAGAAGGGGGCAGGCAATGACTCCGCCATCCACAGATCAAGGCGGCCATGGGGCACAGGGCGCAGAAGAGCCTCCCAGCACCGCCAGGGCAAGGCAGCCCATCCTCCTGGTGGGGGACATCCTTTCCCTCAGCCAGCACCCTGCAATGCCAGCGTGGCCTTGCCCTCCCGCACGCCCAGGCAGACGCCACGCCTGAGGTGGGCGCCCCTCTCCCTGCCTCCCCACAGCCTCACCTTCTTCAGGATGATGTCAATGTAGCCGGCAATGAGCTGGGCAATCTGCTCCCCCTCCGTCGTCTGGACAGAGTAGTAGCCGTCCTGGTAATCCCCAAAGTCCTGCAAGAGGAAAGGAAAAAGGTATCTCTCTCTCTCTCCCCACTCCCCCCGGCCACTGTAGGGCAGCCACAAGGTGGGGAAAACTGTGAAGCCAGATGATGATGATGATGATGATACCCCACTCGTCTGACTAGGTTTCCCCAGCCACTCTGGGTAGCTTACAGAATATCTAAAAACGGAGTGTGAGCTGCTGGGAGCCCTGCTCTTCTCCCTCTGGCTGGGGACGGGGCCTGGCTGGCTCCATAAAGGACTGCTGCTGCCACGGCTGCTGGGCAGAGAGGCCTCCATTTTTGTTTTTGTTTTCTTTTTAAATTGTTTTTATTTTTCCCCCATGTCATTTTAAATTGTGATTGATATTGTTGCAGAAATTACTGGGGTGGGGGCACATCGTTAAAGTTAAATGTTCCAAATATTATGCCTGAATGTATCCTTTCAACTTGACAGCTCAGGGAAGTTACCTAGCTTTAACAATCATATAAAATCAGCTCCTTTGCCAGTTTCCTCCATTCCAAAGCTATTTTCCCCTTGAAAAAGGACTCCAGGAAGTTCCCAGAGGTGACAATTGCGGAGCTGATTGTTGGCCAAGGAAAGCCAAATCCCATCCCCAAACATGCCAAGGAAGTTCTATTGTACTTTGGGTGGTGGGACTTCAGAAGTGTTTGTCTATGCTAATCTTGCCCTGCCATGTCTGCTTATGCTAATCTTGTACCAAGGACTTGTCTGGACATGTTTGCCAAGATTAACCCCTCCCCTTTTGTGACATGTCAATGATGTAGCAATGATGCTGTACGAACTGTATTCTGGGATATGGTGGAAAAGTTTTAAAAGTCCTTGTCACCCCATTCTTGGGGTTCAAAATTCCTCTTTGAACCTGATGCGCAATAAACTACAGCTATTTGCTCCGGTTGGTGGCTGGAATCCTTCCTTTATTCCGCAGGGACCCGCGGGCTCTGCCCGACCAGCTGGGGGACTGAGCAGCCTCACACCTAGATTTTCCCCGTAACAATTTATGCGGAAATTGTTTTTCCATTTGGTTGTGTACTTTTTGATGTGTTTTATTTATGTGATGTGTTGGGTGTAGTGACGGGTTAACCTTCTATGTCTCGTGCTTGAGGGGACGGGCTTACAAGGGAAGTAAGCCAGGACGTGAGGAAAACAGCTTGGTATGCTGTGAACTGAGTGGAAATCGAAAGCATTCAGTTCAGCCGCTGCAAGGGGAGAGAGAGGAGGCAGAGAAAATGCAGCTGAACACGGATGGCTGTTGTGGATTGTAAATACGCTATTTTGTTTCCAATAAAGAGATACTAGGATAGAAGAAACGTCTGGACTTATTTACTGCCCTTTCGACACACAGACGCTGTGTAATTCTGCTAATTGCTTTACGACCGCTCCAAAGCCACCCTGCGTAAACAGAAGCTGCAGAGGCTCGCAGGGGAAGCGTGGCTGGGCGCCAAACAATAAAGCAATAAATCTATCCAAGAGTTTATGACTTGGTTATGTTGATAATTACGTAAATCTTGTCATGTTGTAAGCCGCCTTGAGCATTGTTTTAACTATGGAAAGGTAGCAAACAAAACGATGATGATGATGAAACGTAATAAAAATATCAAGCATTAAAAGCCTCCCGATACAGGGCTGCCTTCAGATGTCTTCTAAAAGTTGCGCAATTCTTTATCTCCTTGACATCCGAAGGGAGGGTGTCCCACAGGGAGGGCGCCACCACCGAGAAGGGCCTGCACAGCTCCATCCTCATTCCAGACATTGTCTAGTGCGATGTTCAGCTGGTGATGCAGCACGATGTTGAAAACCGGCTGTTGCTCAGCCCTCCTGCCTGCCTGCCTGCCCTCTGCTTGCAGGATGCGGCCCCAGGCAGCCCAATTCTGCTGCTGCGCTTCTTCCAAAGGACACCCGGGGAGGGGGCAAAGAGCGTTGGAGATGGCGGGGGGAGGAAGAGGAAGGAGGAGGAAGGCCTACCAGCGTGAAGCTCTTGGGGGAGGCGGCCCAGCGCTTGATGTTGGTGAGGTTCCACTCCTGGATGACCTCCTTGGTCTTCTCATCCACCCGCATGACACATTCCTTGGTGATGCCCAGCAGGCGGGGGACCAGCTTGTTCTTGCCCTTCATCTTCTCCTGCAGGGGGGACACGTGGGTCAGGCCCAAGGGGAGCCCTCAGCTCCCCCTGCACCAAGGGGGCACCAGCCACCCCAGAGCCACCATGCCCACCTCAAAGGGCAAACCTGCAGGAGATGCCCCCCCTGGCCCCCCCTGCAAGGCGCAGAAGAGCCAAGGGTGCAACAGCCCCACCTCAGCTGGAGGCAGGGGGCTTCCCGAGCATCCTGCCCCCCTGAAAGGGCAGAGAGATGGGGCAGGGCCCCCCTCACCTTGACCAGGAAGAAGGAGACCCCGTAGGTCTTGAGGGATCGGGCCAGCTTCACGTAGCGGACCTTCGCCTCAATCTCGCTCATGTTGCTGCAGTTCTTGTGGGCCTGAGGGCAGAACAAAGGGGGGGGTCATCCTTCCGCTCCTCCCACCCCAGGGAAGGGGCCCCCCTCTCCCGCCAGAGCCGCCCCAAACAGCAGGGGCGTCCCAGTCCCCACAGGGGGTCCTCCGGGAAATGGGCAGTAGATCCTGTCAAAAGCAGATATTTTGCCAGGCACAAGGTGTGCCCCACCCCCAAGCCCACTCATCGGTGGAGAGGGAGGAGTGCCCCCCGTGAGCCCCCTTCCCCTGGAGGTCCAAGGGGTCCCTGGTTGCAGCCAGTCGTCCCCCCCCCCCCCGCTTCCACTCACCATGAAAATCTTGCGCTCGCCTTTCTGCTTGATGTACTCCTTGGGCAGAAAGTCCTTGAGGCTGGAAAAGGGAGAGGAGAGGAGGGGGCATGAGGGGAGGGAGAGCAAGGAAGAACCCCAAACCTTTGCTGCCCAACCCAAACTCATCCCTTGGGGGGGCAGTCCTGCCCAGCGCAAGGAGGCCCTGCCCAAATGAAGGGAAGTGCAATGAAGAAGCCCTGGCGGACGGCTGTCCAACCTCGACTTGAAAAGGAAGGGGAGGCCACTCGCCTCTGCGCGGCACCCTGTGACTCGGTTTCCCCTGGCGCTCCGCTGCGAGGCCCACACCAAGCGGGCAGAGACCGGCAGGGGCACTTACTCCAAGAATCCCGGCTTGTGCTTCTGCTCATTGTGGGGGCCAAACTGGATCTGGCACTGGAATCCCGCAAATTCGCAGGCCTTGTCGAAGGAGACGGGGTGGGAGCCGTTCAGGATGTCGTCACGGGCCTGGAGAAGGGGGCGGGGGCACAGGGAAGTCATTCTCCTGAATTAATTCACAGTTCATTCATAGCTCCTTAATGGGCCCTTCCCTCCCACCCTCTCCCCAAGGATTTTGGGCTGGGGGGGAGGAGAGACCTGCTGCCCACTCCACCAACCCAACCTTCATGGCACCTGCCAGGTGTACCTTGGGGGTTATTTATTTTATTTCACAAAATTTATACAATGCTTGATTGTAAAAAAACACACCCAACAACCTCAAAGCAGTTAATAAAAAGATAAAACATTAAAACTGAGTTCAAAGCGTACAGAAAGTTAAAATACTACAACAGGTTGGAACTCACTTCTACTTTCTAAGCATTCGGGGGGTGGGTCTACACAAGAATGTTTTTAGCAAGCACCAAAACGTGCAAAGCAAAGGCACCTGCTTCATATCAAGAGGCAGGGAGTTCCAGAGGGCAGGTGCTGCCACACTAAACGATCGAATGCTTACAAACGCAGAAAGTGGGGCTTATGTGGCATCTATGGCAGGGCCCGTCCCCCCGAGCGGCCGCATGTGGGGTGAGGGGTTTCATAGGTAAACTGGGGTTAGGATAAAGCCCGAGACTTGCAGGGTTGTGTGAAGGGAACAGTACCTGCACATAGAGCAGGTTGAGTTGCACAGGATCCCGCGAATCCACGTTTTGGTCCGAGTAGAAGAACTTCCGTCGCAGGAGGAGGGTCTCGCTGTCATCGATGCCCTGCTCTCGGAGGGTGCGCCCGTGGTCCAGCCAGTTCACTGTTGGGGCACAGAGAACATTGGGAGGGGAAGCAGGGGGAAGGAGAGAGACCCCCCACTCTTTGCTCCTGGGTCCTTGTGGGTCGTACCCCCACCCCACCGACTTACACTCGTCGTCCGTGTGGAGTTTCTGCTTGAGCTTCTCCATCTTCTTCTCATCCCGCAGGAGCGTCTTGTCCTTCTTGAGGGTCCCCGTCTGCTCCTCCTTCTTCTCCTCCACAATTTCCCGCACCAGGGAGTACTCGTCGTAGTTCGTGATGCCTGCCGGGCGAGGAGACCCCCCCATGTCAAGAAGGTGGGTGGGGAGAGAGAGGTCAGTCCTGCCAGACTGGGAGACATCCCTCTTGCCTTCTGCAGAGCAAGACAACGTCTCCACCCCCATCGTTCTGCCCAGACGCTGAGGTCCAGCTCCGAGGGCCTTCTGGCAGTTCCCTCCCTGCAAGAAGTGAAGCTACAGGGAACCAGGCAGAGGGCCTTCTTGGTGGTGGCACCTGCCCTGTGGAATGCCCTCCCACCAGATGTCAAAGAGAACAACAACTACCAGACTTTTAGACCACATCTGAAGGCAGCCCTGTTTAGGGAAGCTTTTAATGTTTGATGCGTTACTTTATTTTAATATTGTGTTGAAAGCCGCCCAGAGTGGCTGGGGAAACCCAGCCAGATGGGCATGGTATAAATAAATAAATCATCATCATCATCATCTGTCAGGGGGAGCTAGAGACCTCTCTCCCTCCCTAGATCAAGACCCCCCCCCCCGCTCACCGATTCTGGCGCAAATGGTCATGAGTATGTCTGTGACCGTCTTGGAGTCGTCCACCATGACCGTCTTGACCGTCCCGTCCAGCATCCGGATCTTCAGGGGCCTCTGCTTCTTCTTGTACTCCAAGGTGTCCTGGAATGTTGTAGGGGGGCATCAGAGAGGGCCGGAGGAGAGCAGTTGGGGGGGCACCCAGAGTGGGGGGGGGAGGGGAGGGGAAAGAGGGGGCCATGCAAAGGAGGAGATGCCCGCCTGGCAAGGGAGGGGGCGGCCAGGGGACAACCCTGGCAGGGAAGGGGGGACGCACCCCATTGCGGAGCATGTAGTAGTCCAGGGCCTTCCCAGCTTCCAGCCAGATGCCTTTCTTGGGATCTTCGTCTGACAGGAAGAGGCCAAAGTCGGTGGCTGGAAAAGAGCAGGAAAGACTCTCCCAGGACAGGCCAAAGGGCAGGCCCAGAGGCTGCAGACGGAGGTCCAGGCAGGGCTTTGGGGAGGCCCAGTCCCCCCGGCCCCCCTGTGCTTGGGCCTGAGGACCTGCCTCTGCAGATGTCCCCCACTCCCCGCCTTTCTTCATCAGAAGGGCAGGCCCCCCTCTCTTGCCTGATGTGAAGAGATGCAGCTGAGAAGACATTCAATGCCCACCCCCAATAATCAGCTGCTCCAGCCTACCCAACCCCCCTGCCCCCGACTTACGCTGGCCCATCTGCGCCTCCGGAACTCGCTCCCGGATCATGCGGCAGGCGTCGTACACCATGGTGGACGGCTCAAACTGCATCGTCTTCACCACGTTGCCAATGCTGATCTTGAGGGATAAGGCAACCATGGTGGCGGCTGGGGGGTCCCCACTCCTGCTTCACCTGCGGGGCAAAGAGGGGCCATAGCCGCTGGTGAGCAAGACCCCCGGAGAGGCTACAAGTCCCTTCAGCCAGGAAGGACTCAAGGAGGTGCTGAAGCAAAGGTTGGTCAACTGACAGGGGTCCTTTCCAGCTCGACCATTCAATGGCTCCAAGGCTCCAAGCCCACTTGGGTGGGGAGCCACTCTTCCCCCCACAAGGCCAGGCTGGGACATCGGAGGGGGGGCGCAAGGCAGAATCCCACTTGTCTTTTCACAGCTGAGCCTGAGGTTCAGTGAAGCCGCAGGCAGCGGCGTAGGAAGCCTCTTGGGCACCTGCGGTGGCATGCCCAGGGGCAGGGCGAACCACCCATGGGGATGGAACAGGGAGCTCGGCATTCCGTGCCGTCCCTATGGGCGCTGCACGCCCTGTGCCGTGCCGCCCCGTGCCGCCCCTATGCCACCGGGGGTATTTGCGTGATCGGTGGTCAGATTTTCACAATCGGCGAGTGGCGCTGGCACCCCCGGCTGCCGCAGCTGGGAATGAAAGCACTGCCCGCCGGGGGTGCCAGGCAGTGCCGCCCGCTGATCATGGAAATCCGATTCCCAATCGCATAAAACCCGCTGGGGATGCGAGCGCTGCCTGCTGGGGGGTGCCAGGCTGATCAGCAGGCGTATTTGCGCGATCAGCGGGCGTATTTTCATGACAACGACCGCACCAATCACAAAAATCTGCCCACTGGGGGTGCGAGCGCCACCATGCAGGTCCGCTGGGGGGGCTGTGTCCCCCCCAGGCATAACACCCGGGGCGGACCTCATCCCCTTGCAAAGCCCCTGGCTGCAGTTTGGTCAGGCCACCAGGCCAAGGCGAGTGAAGAACCTCCAGTGCGGGATGGGAGGGGGGGAGAAGATGGCAGAAAATCAGAGCATCACCCTCCCCCCACTTCCAATGAATCTCCCTCTATTTTTGTTTGCAGGGACCCCCTCAGGTGCTGAGCAATGCTGGGTTTCCCTTGATTATAAAGGTGGTTTGGCAAAAGTGCAAGACGGAGCTGGACCCCACAAGCTACCCGGTCCCCAACACAAGTCACCCTGAATGGAAGGAAGGGTAGCAGTTCCAGGAAACAGGGCAGTTCTAGCTCCAGCCAAGACCCTCCTCAATTTTGTGCAGTGTTAGAAACTCAAGATATATAAACTAGGCGCCAAATGGCTCCTTAAACCAGGGTTACAGTAGCCAAAATGGAAGGTCTAGTTGCCATTTTTGTGCCAGATGGCTCAAAAGTCGACTTTTTGGTTCCTGAAATTCATTCTGGTTGTGCAGATAAAACACAATGGATAGAATTCTACGGGATATGCAGAGCCAGGATAGCTCAGTTGGTTACAGCGTGGTCCTGATAACACCAAAGTTGCAGGTTTGATTGCTGCATGGGGCAGCTGCAAACTCCTGCCTTGCGGGGGTTGAGCTGGATGATCCTCGGGGTCCCTTTTTTGCAACTGGATGGCTGATTCAGGGGGTCTGCAGGGGAACATGGGAATAAAAGAACGTCTTTGTTTTTTGCTGCTGCTGTTGCGCAGCCGGGCGAATCAGCTGCTATCCTGCAGACTCCCTGATTCACCCAGCAGAAAGAAAAAAACAAAGAATAAATAAATAAATAAATAAATGTTGCATCTGTCTTTAAATATATAAATGGCTAAACATTCTGTTTTGGTACCTGCAATCCAAATCCCAGGAGCCATTTGGCTCCTAGCCTGTGTATCCCAGTTTCTAACACTGCTATGAGGATGTGTTGCTTGTGTATGGAATAGTCCAGACCTGAGGATCCCCAGGCCGGCACCTCCAGATGGTGGGGATGTCAGGCGCCATCCTGGCACCCGGGCACCTTCCTTTGGTCGCAAGCGGCTGATGGCCAGGTGCAAAAGGCGCCTGGTGGATTTTGATCGTTGGCCAGTGCCCACCTAGTCCAGGACCCCGAGGTCCTGCTCCTGGTTCGCCCCTCCAGTTCAGACCCCTTAAAGGGTATATGCTGCAACAATATGCATTTTTACATATGGAGGCATACAATTTGGATAAGAAAATCGGCTTCCAGGTGGAAAAATCAAAATTAGAAACAGAATTGTTAGAACCCAAAACTAAGATTTTGTCAAAGATGTATAACTTGCTGTTGAAATGGAATACTCAGGATGAAACGGTGAAATCTGCTATGATTAAATGGGCACAGGACGTTGGTCACAATATTATGTTTGCTGACTGGGAACAGTTGTGGACCACAGGTATGAAATTTACGGCATGTAATGCCTTAAGAGAAAATATTATGAAAATGATATACAGGTGGTACATAACCCCAGTCAAGCTTGCAAAAATCTATCATGTGCCTGATAATAAATGTTGGAAATGTAAAGAAACTGAAGGTACATTTTTCACCTTTGGTGGACGTGCCCAAGGATTAAGGCTTTCTGGGAGATGATTTATAATGAACTAAAAAGGTATTTAAATATACCTTCTTGAAGAAACCAGAGGCCTTTCTCCTGGGCATAGTCGGCCAATCGGTGTTAAAAAAGGACAGAACTTTCTTTATGTATGCTACAACAGCAGCAAGAATACTTATTGCAAAGCATTGGAAGACACAAGAGCTACCCACACTGGAGGAATGGCAGATGAAATTGATGGACTATATGGAATTGGCGGAAATGACTGGCAGAATCCGTGACCAGGGAGAAGAGTTGGTGGAAGAAGATTGGAAGAAATTTAAAGACTATTTACAGAAATATTGCAAAATTAATGAATGTTAGAATGATGTTGGATTGAAGTTAAGTGGTTTCTAGCGGTATAGGTACAAAAGAATATGGACAAATTGGTTTTTAATATGTAAAAATTTAATGTTATAATATATCAAGATTAAAGATTAGGACTAAAAAGGAGGGAAAGGAATTGTTGGATTAACAAATTGAATTGGAATACAAAAGAGGGAGGTATGAGGAGGTCCGAGAAACAAGTAAACATAAAAGAAGTGAAGAAAAGATGGAATTGTTTTTAACTGTTTTTTCTTTTTTCTACTTTGTATTTTTCCTTTTTATTGTTAATTTCTTTTTATTAATGTGATTTTTCTTCTTTTGAAACTTTAATAAATATTATTTTAAAAAAAAATATGCATTTTTACAAACTATCAATTCATTTTTAAAAAGGACAATGCACAATCAAGTCATTAAAACACCATATAATTATAAAATAATAAAATGGAGAACAAATGACCAACCCCAAATCGAACTGATTCTGCAGAAAAAGCTTGGCGAGAAAGAAATGTTGTCATCTGGGGGCAAACTGCCCAACTGCAGGTGCCTGGCTGGCTGCAGGAGGAGTGACGATCCAGAGGGCAGGTGCAAAGCCCCCCATGTTGGCTGGGGGGGAGCTGGGGGGGCCTCTGCAGGCGAGGGAGCAAGTGGCCCCTGCGGCTGGGAGGCAGCAGCCCCAGGACTGAGCAGGAAGGAACAGCGAGTCGCTCTGGAGTGACAGCCCTGCTGTCCAAGAGGAAGGGGGCCTGCCAGGAGCCCCGGCTGATAAGACCCTGCGGCAAAAAGGAGCCAGAGATATAGAAAAGTGGCTGGCGAGGATGACGGAGAAACCGCAGGAGGGAAGCGTGTGGCTCCAGGCTTCACTGGAAGAAGAGCCTGCAAGATCGGGCCAAAGGGGGCACTGAGTCCAGCTCCTGTTCTCATGGCCGCCAGCCAGGTCCCTTTGGGGGGAACCTGCAAGCAGGACTCGGGCACCAGAGCCCTCTCCCTGCCGCCTTCTGGCAGCTGGCAGTCAGAAGCATTGGTGCCTCCGCCACGGAGGCTGAGAGGAGCCAATGGGGCAAGGAGCCCAGGGAATGGAGGAGGCAGCCAGCCAACACGGATCCTGGCAAACTCCCCCCGACACTTCTTCCAGGGACCCCCGAGGCTGGGTCCCCTCTTTTCAAGGGCTGATCTGAACAGGAGGTCCTCTTCCACCCGAGGGGCAGGGACCAGGGACCCTCCTTGCTGGCTGCCTTCCAGGGTCCTCAAGGGCACCAAATCTTGGCTCCGTAAGCCAAGGGGCACCTGAAGGCACGGTGAGAAACGCAAAGATAGAAGCTCAAACGATGCCTTCATCCTCAGTTACGGTCACCACAGCTGTCTAGCTGCCTTTTCCCCCAGAGAGATTTGTTATTATAGGTTTACAACACGTTAAAACATCAAATAAAAGGATCCAGAATTAAAAAGGTGCCCAGGCTTCTCCATGCCAGTCAGATGGTGGAGACGTCAGTTGCCCAACCTGGTGGCAGAACACCTTTGCTTGGTCGCAGCTGGACCCACACCGGACGAAAGACGTGCCTGGCGCCCAGGAGATTTCAAACACTGCCTGAACTGCCTGCTGCACCTTAGACCAGGGGTCACCCACATGGCAACTGAGTGGATGCTGGTGCCCACTTTCCCTGGTGACTACAATGTGCTCCCCTTTGCAGAAATTAAGCAGGAAAGAAACACGCTGTACAGTGGTACCTCTGGTTATGAACTTAATTCATTCCAGAGGTCCGTTCTTAAGCTGAAACCATTCTTATCCTGAGGCGTGCTTTCGCTAATGGGGCCTCCCGCTGCGCAATTTTCGTTCACATCCCGGGGCAAAGTTCGCAGTCAGGAGACCTACTTCCGGGTTACCAGAGTTCGTAACCCAAAGCGTTTGTAACCCAAAGCACTCGTAACCAGAGGTACCACTCTATTCCTAGCCAACAGAACAGGGTGTGGTGTGCCTTCTGTTGTGGTGTTTGTGTGTGTGATGCCCACCTGTGGCTTGCAGGTGGGGGACAGGAAGGTGGGCGAGCCTTGCCTTAGACTCAGCTGTCTAGACAAAGGCCTCCTGGTCAGGAATCCACCCCAGCTCCCTCCTGGGCTGGGTTAAACCAACTCTTCTGCCCACCTGATCTCCACCAGCCCAGCTGAGCACCTGAATAACCGCAGGATGTGGGCAGCTGCAGCCTGGCAAGGGAAGCCAACTGTCTGGGGGGTTGGCTGGCTCCTACCAGGACAGGGACCCTCTGGGTTTGGGGAAGGGGCTGCTGACACCACCACCTGGGCAATAAAGGAACAGAGAAAGAGGTCTCCCAGCTCCCTTGTAGCTCCAAGGGACCAGATCCCCCCAGCCTGCCCAGCTCACCTCCTCTGTGGTGTCCCAGTGCCTAGACCCAGGGAGCTTTATCCTGCCCTCTCCCAGGAAGCTGCTCCAAGCACCAGAGGGGCCCCTGCCAGGCCAGGAGGGAGGCACTCTCTCCCTCATGCACTGGTCTCCCGCCCTGGCCAAAGTGGTCTCCCAGCTCCCAGAGGCCTTTGGGGGCCTGCTTTGGGTTCACCCACTTGCCCCCTGGCACCATGCCTCACTGGGCTGTGAACCGGCTCATGAGCACCCAATTCTGAGCAGCACAAGCCCCCCCCCAGCCAGGCCCAAAGTGTCTCACTTGGCTGCGCAGGTCTTGGCCAGCTGTGCTCCACCACTGGAAAGAAGCAGCTTCCGAGCCAAACGGGCCTCCCAGGGCCCTCAAGCACTGGCCCTCCTGCTGCCCCCGGGCTCCGCTCTGAGCAGTCTCTGCAGCCAGGATTCTGCCTGCCTCTGCCTGCCTGGGCACACAGCTCCTGCTGCTGCTGCTTTGGGCTCCTCACCCCCTCCGCCTCCTTCCTCCTATCTCCTCCAGCCCATTTCCTGACCCGAGACCAGCGACCAGCCTGGCTCTCCCCTGGCCTGAGCCTCTTCCGCCCCCTTATGGCTCTCATCCTCTGCCAGGAACTGAGCTCAGGGGCAGGAAAAGGTCCTGCCAGTGACCCCGGAGGCTCAGAGTCCGGCCTGCCATGGCCCTGGGACAAGGCCAGGAGCACAGAGGGAGTCCCCAGGAAGGGAAGGATCCTTCAGAATTGGGTGCCATGCTTGTCCCATGTGGTTGGGCCATACGTGGTTGGGAGACTGTGGGAGCACACACAGAGGGTGTCCAGGCAGGGGGTGCAAGCCCCCAAGGCGGCTCAAGCTCCCCACACATGCCAGCTACGGGCCAAAGAAAATGCAGGGCTCCTCTTCTTCGTTCTCATCAAGGAAACGGACTCAGAAAGGGTTTGCCAGATGCTCCTTTTGCGGCTTCCGCTTTCCGTCTGCTGCTGCGCTGACTGTGGGGTTTGGGGACCCAGAACTTGCTAGCCATTCTGGGAGGCCGGTTGCCCCCTGAAGGCAGCGGATGGGAGTCAGCAGGCAGGCTCCAGCCTCACCCTCAGCGTTGCAGGCACAGGGAGTGGGCGGGATTTTGCAAGAAGGGAGAGCAAAGGGAAACGATTCTGAAGCGGCAGAGGAAGCACGAGAAAGGCAGCAGGAGCATTGCAGCGCCCCCAGCCAGGCAGGGGCTGCTCCTGGGGGCCAGCGCCCGCTCTGCCCTGGCCCCAGGGTGGAGGGGAGGCGCCAGCAGCAGCAGAAGCTGTACGTGGCCCAGGAGGAGGAGGCGGAGGCGGATCAGGAGCCCTCCCCTCCACTCCACAGAAACATTCCAGGCCTGCATTCTTGAGCAACTCAGCAATCCAGCGCCTGCAGAGGCCCAGGCTCCCCATTGGCTGACAGAGCCCATCAGGCAAGGGGAGGGTGCCCCCCCCCCGCAGGCCAAGGAATGTCGGAAGCACCCTGGCAGAGGGCGGCACGTGTGGCACAAAGGCACCAGCCCCCCACCCACGCGTGCCACCAACCCCCCTTCCACCAAGGAAACGGAGAGAAGCAGACCATTCCAGGCACAAAGCAAGGCTTGCGCCCCTCTGCACAGACCTCCTGCCGCCCCCTGACTCTCCCCACGCTCGCCCTGGCTCTGTGGCCAATGGGGAGTCTGGGCTGGCAACCGGATCAGCCGCTGCCCTTTTGCCCAGGAAGTCTGCCAGCCGGGCTGCCCAAGCCCAGAGAGAGGCAGTGTGTGTATCCGCAGCCAGCGCAGAATACCTCTTCCAACCGCCTCCAATTAGGGGCATTACTCAGCACATGCCGCCTCCGGAGGGATGGGATCCATGTCAAGAGCCAGCAGGAAAACCAGCCTTTCACAAGAGGAAGGAGGTCACATGTGGGCAGCATCACAGAGCTGAAAGGGGCCTGGGAGGCCACCCCACCCCACCCAATTTGGTAAATCCAGAGCCAGGGTCCCCCGCTGCATGAAGACCCTCTGGCCAGTCAGGGCTTGTACCTTCAAGGGTCTTTGCCCTCTCCCTGATGAGGACAATGGCAAGAGCCCCTGGGATCTCTCTCCAGAAGAAGAGCCAGGCGCCCCCTTCTCCCAGGGGGGCCTCGCCAAAGCCCCTTCGCCTCTCCTGGCAGATGTTTGGGTCAGCCAGACTGTGTGGAAAAGAAGGCCCATCCACGCCAGCCCTGCCCAGCTTCCCACAGCAGCCTCTCCTGGGGAGCTCAGGATCCAACCCTGGCTATTTGGCTGCCAACACCTGCTCACGGCAGGTAGAGTCCGTCCCCGTCCCCCCGCTGGTCACAGAGGCTCTGTTTGCAACTAGCACTTCCAACTGGCATTAGTTTAAGCTGTGCATCTGCCCAACGGTTCTCCCAGGCTCCTTCTACTAATCCCCGCCTGGCGCCTGGTCTCTTGCCGAAGCTCTTCCTTCGCGGCCACCAGAGCTTCTTGCATCTACAAGATAAGTCGTCTTCTGACAAACACAAGGCAGAGAGGAGAGGCCTGGGGCTGTGGATCCCGGGTCAAAGGTCGTGCAGATCCCGGGAGGCAGAGGGGAGTTGGTGCCTCCCCAGTCATGCCCACGGGTGTCAGTGCCCATGCTCAGACAACCCAGAATCTCAAGACAGGAAGGTCCAGCGAGAGGCAGCCCAAGGGGGCGCCAGGCAGCAGGTAAACGTGGGGGAGGGGGCAGCCCCAGGCAGATGCTCTCCCAACTGCCCCCCTCAGCTGTGAGCTACCAGAGGCCCCTTGACAAGAGGCCCCAGAGGGAACGCTGTGAGGGGCTGGGCTCCTCAAAAGACCAGCCTACCAGCCTGCTCCATGCTAGGATTGCTGCTCTGAGTCCCAAGGCACCAGGGACAGCCCTCCTGCTCTCAGGGCCCCAGCAGAGATGGAAGATGCGCAGGGAGAAATACCAGGCACCCCCCCCCATGCCTTGAAGCTTCGCCTGCAGATGCTGCAAGGTGAAGCAGAGAGGATCTTGCGAGAGACAGCGGGGGGGGGGCTGGCGGCCAGGCGAGTCCCCCAAACAGGAAAAAACACGTCCTTGCTGACAGGCAGCTGCAGAGGGGAGCCAGCTCCACGCTGTCTAAGGTGTCACCCAAGAATGCAGGCCTGAGTCAAGGCTTTCGCTTCTTGGACGGATCCAGGGCCAGGAAAGGACTCCTCAGGAGGAAGAGTCAGCCAGCAAAGCAGAGCTCTGGAGCCCATGCCAGGAGAGGCGTCCAGAATCTGCGACCAGAAGGTGCAAGTGGGGATGAGGCAAAGGCACAGAGGGGGAAAGGGCTCCCCACGGCTGCTGGTCCTGGTGGGGCGATTCCTGCCACCTCCAACAACCCAGCAACAAGGTCTGACCCCCAGGAGCCGGAGCAGGATCGGGCCTTTGGGCTTTGCTTGTGGGCTTCCTCCTCAAGAGGCTCCTGGCAGGTCAGGGTGGGCAGGTGGGTGGTGGCCAGAGGTCCAATTCTGCTGCAGGGCTCTTCCTCATACGGAGGGGCCAACAGAGAGCAGGATGGGAGCAGGGGGGCCCTGAGCAGGTCCGAGGAGCCACAAGGGGGGGCGGATGAGAATGGGAGCCTCCACAGGCCCCACACCAGATGGTGAACCCCTGAAAGAAGATCAGGAGTGGGGGGGAGACTCTGTACACTGAAAGAGAAGGAGCAGTTCCCAGAGAAAGAAACCCCATTGCTCTGGGGGGAGCCACAGAGAAGCAGCGCCGGATTGCAGGGGGCTGGACTAGATGCCCCGCCAGATCCCTCCTGACTCTACAATGCTATCATTCTGCGAGGGATCCCTGAAGGGACAGGGCTGTGCAGCCAAGGTCCCGCACCTCTGTAGCACCCCAAGTTCAAGTGGGTTGGCCCCTTCGCAAGCTGGCCTCCATGTGCCCCACGGTACCCCAGCCACTCCTCCTCCCAGGCC